AACCTGTTGTATATATTCCTGTTTCAAGTTCAATAAAAAGATACAAAATTCCATCCTATTTCTTACTGTGTTAGTAATGATTATGTTGATAACGTTGGCATACTATGTAGAAGATTTTATGAAAAGTACTAAGAATAACATAAATAATAGTCACGTTTTTAATCGGTTTCAAAACACTTATCATTTCTTAATTACCTCTTACAGTTTAGTTTACTTTTAAATAATGCAAAATGAACTATCATCTAATTATATAATAAAGGTAAGTGTAGAATTTGTTTTTATATATTAAAATAAATTAATTTTATCCTTATAATTGCAATTGAATTTTCAAACTATCTTTCTTTAATATTTTCCAACAAAACCATAAAAAAAAAAAATCACATTATTTACGCATGATAAACTTTATTTTAAAAATACCATTTAAATGATAGGATATGTGCAAGTTATTATTGCATGACCACTCTCTCTTCCATCTTGATCAGAATCGGACCAAAATCAACTTGAAACAATCAATTTCGTCACTTTTCTTACCACTCTCAAAAACTATCTTTTTTCAACTAAAACCTTCATATTTCATCTAAAATCAAATTGTAATCTGCCTTAAAACTGATATTTTCAACATTTTTCTCACCTTTTTAGGTCAATATTGAGTTCTAACTTCTCGATCATTCTAAAATCTGCTACATTTCTCTATTTTTTTCTATTTTTCGACCACTGATAACCTCAAATATCTTTTAATTATCAAAAATCAAGCCTAACATTATAAATTTGTAATTTTTCACCTAAAAAAATGAGTTTGATACTTGTCCTTAGTCGGAGTCTAACCAAAGTGAAAGAAAGAGTGGTGACTTGCACATGTTCATTCAGTTGATGGCATTTTCTATATAAAATTGGTTATGTGCAAATTACATGATATTTGCTGATGATTTTGCAGGATAATATCATTAGAAGAAGCTATTGAAAACTCATTAAAATAAAGAGGGTAATAAAAAATCTAATAAAAATCAAAATATAAAGGGATAAAAAATTTTGAGGAAAAATTTTGGTTATGACACCTTGCGTTGACAGAAATCAACACATAAAATTCGGTTCACAGGGGACCTGATGATGTCATATTGTTTTCGGTCAAAACTTTTCACAATTATATAATGTATGGCTGGCATTAAGTGTAAAAAATAAAGCAATGGAGAAAAGGATAGCAATAATTGGAGCTGGTGTTAGTGGCCTTCTTGCCTGTAAATACACACTCTCAAAAGGTTTTAGGCCAATTGTTTTTGAAGCAAGAAACAGCATTGGAGGAGTATGGATTAATACTGTAGAGACTACAAAGCTCCAAACTCCAAAACCAGCATATCAGTTCTCCGATTTTGCTTGGCCAGATTCAGTCACAGAACTCTTTCCTAACCACCATCAAGTCTTGGATTACCTGCAGTCATATGCACATCATTTTGACTTGTTTAAGCACATCAAATTCAGCACTAAAGTACTTGGCATCAAGTATGAAGGCGCATCTGATGAAGAGATGCAGTCATGGAGCTTGTGGGGTGGATATGGGGAGCCCTTCAGCTCAAGAGGGAAATGGATCGTTGAAGCACAGGACACACGTAACCTTTCAACTGAGGTATGCCTATCTACTATTTTACTGAGAGTTAAATCAATATTTTTGTGGGATATGATCTCAGTACCTGGTTTCGTCAAGTTTTGATCAAGTGATCGTAATTCAGTCAAGTTTTTTCCTAAAATCTTATAATCTAATTAAGATTTAGAAAAATCACAGGTTTACCAAGTGGATTTTGTGATCCTTTGCGTGGGAAAGTTCAGTGATGTTCCAAACATTCCTAAATTTCCTCCTGGAAAAGGCCCTGAAGCATTTCAGGGCGAGGTGATGCATTCTATGGACTATACCAGCATGGATTATGAAAGTGTTAGAGACTTTGTAAGAGGCAAGCGAGTAACTGTCGTTGGGTTCCGAAAATTTGCAATGGACATTGCAATGGAGTGCTCTACAACAAATGGTAGCAAAAATCGTACGAATTTTGTTGGGTTTTGGTACAGTAATTTCTTATCTTATGGTCGTTGATATATATATGTATATGTATGCAGGGGTTAAACATCCGTGCAGAGTTTTATACAGAACTGAACAATGGAATGTCCCTGATTACAATCCATGGGGAGTGCCCTTACCTTATTTGTTTTTTAACCGGTTCTCGGAGCTCATGGTTCATAAGCCTGGTGAAGGATTCCTACAGAGTCTGCTGGCAACAATTCTTGCACCTCTGGTAAATTTCCCTTTGCTTTGCACCGTAAAGGTTGTTTTCCTAAAGGACTGATTTATCTGTAATGCATTCACAGAGATGGGCATTGTCAAAATTCGTCGAAAGTGATATCAAGAAGAAGCTTCGTTTGGCAAAGTTTGGAATGGTTCCAAAGCACAGTTTTCTTCAAGAACTTGGCTCTTGTTTGATTACAATAGTTCCTCAAGGACTCTATGATAAAGTTGAAGAAGGAAGCATCCTACTGAAGAAAGCTCCTAGTTTTAGCTTCTGCAGAGAAGGCATTAAGGTTCATGGTGAGGATACACCAATAGAAACCGACTTGGTCATATTGGCTACAGGATATAAAGGTGAAAAGAAGCTCAAAGACATTTTTCAGTCCAAAATGTTTCAAGACTCCATACTTGGGTCTCCTAATGCTGCCGTTCCTCTTTACAGGTTAGTATTCTTGTAAAACAGGATAAGTCAGTAAGTTTCATGATTTGTAAATTATACAAGAACCAATATATCTTACAAGTTTTTTTTTTTTTTTTTGAATTCAGGGGATGTATTCATCCCCAAATTCCACAACTAGCAGTGATTGGATTCTCAGGAAGTGCTGCAAACTTGTACACCTCGGAAATGAGATGCCGGTGGGTAGCAGAGCTTCTTGATGGCAAATTCAAGATGCCAAGCATAAAAGAGATGGAAAAAGATGCTGCAAAATGGGACCAATATATGAAGCAATATTCTGGTCGATATTACCCTCGATCGTGCATCGGTGCCATTCACATATGGTACAATGATCAACTGTGCAAAGACATGGGATGGAACCCAAAGAGAAAGAAGGGATTCTTTGCTGAATTGTTTGAGCCCTATGGACCTTCCGATTATGTTTCACCTTAAAGACATGAGGAGGTCTTACCCTGCAGAATGGATACAGCAATGTACCTTTTGCATTTTATAAATTAATTCCCAATTCTTAGTTTGAATATGAACATGTAAAACATTTTTTTCTCAATTTCTAAGCAATAATAGGACTGGCATCCCAATCCTGATTCCTTGCATGCTTTGCAGGAAAGAGTACTGTTAGTCTGCATTATGTGTTGATCATATATTTAAATAATAATCGTCATGTTATGTAACGATCGATATATAAGGGTTTTGAAGCATCTGTTATTTTTATTTTAGTGTTATATTAAACTACAATTTACGATGATGATCATGATTATTTTTTCAACCATCCAATGTCTCCTTACAACTGACCCAAAAGAAGTGACGGTCCACAATAATGATCAAACATCAAATTTAACCATTTTTGGGTATCAACATTAATGTGTCAAACCTCAAGCTGAAGCCTTTCTTTAAGTCCTTTTCAACTCGATGAGTTTTACCTCTTTCTTCACCAACTAGAACCGGTACTGGTTTTCTTTGATGGCTTCTTAAATCCTGCACCATCCATCTTATATAGTTTTTAATTAGAGGGTTATTGATTGATTCATTGACTGTGAAATTTAATTTAGTGATTCTGTAAGTTTCCAAGCATATTAATTTTTTTTTTCCTTTGGATTCCAAGGTCTTTAAATGCAATGCAAGGCATTTAAAAGCCCCCACACCCAAAAAACAAAGGGTAGGGTGATGGGGAATCGCTATTTTGCAGTTTTAGATTATAACATCAAGCAAATCTATGGCATTTAAGCAATACATAGCATGCGATTATGAGGCAGTGTGGCGTTCTTGATGATCTTCCTTTGTCGACGAAACAAGGCATATCTTGTTTATGGAGTCTGTAAGACAGACTATTTTAGGTTACTGGACAAAAAAAATACTGGACTTGACCCAAGATTTCTATTAACGGATGATGGATATTGATTACCACACAGCTTACAAACACTAGAAACATAAATGCATATTCATTTTTCATGAGTCAAAAGATTAAAAATCATCATATAACTAAATATCAATATCTTCTGCAAAAATGGGGACTGTTTCCAGCTTCGGCAGGTATAACCAAGGATGCTACTAAATAATAAAAAATTGTTGACCAGCTAAAGAGAGTAAATCATAGCCTCAAGGGCAAGCTGTAAATTTTCTCAAGCTGTGTGCATTACTCTGACCATCCAGCGATTGGATAGAGTCAGTTCCAAGATGAACCAGCAAGCTGGAAAAGAAATGGTTAAATCTGAAACAAGCATTGGACAGCAAGAAAAATAAAGCAGATGAGAAATAACCAATTATTTCCCCTACCCAATACAATGTAACAGGTACATGATTTACTCCTTTTTTTCTTCAATCTACTTGATCATCAGTAAAGTGAATGAGTGTAAGGATTTCCAAGATTAAACATCATTGTTGTGGATCATCTATGAATCAGGGGCAGGAGAAACAAAACAACTCTGAATTGAAAAATTGCTATTCAGCTTGGTTATTTAATCAGCAGTGTAAAACAGTGACCTTCACACCATTAAAAAGGCAAAAAAATGTCATTCTACCCTTGCTGGTAACTCTTTAATTGGGACCTGCACTAACTGGCAAATTAATCCAACATCTGAAGTTTTATTTTTGTCCTCCTATTTTCTGATTGTGCATTGCCTTTCTGAAGGCCTAATTGCCTCGTTAACTACTTTCTGCCAGAATTAAGTCCAATAGTTCTTCTTTTGTGTAAGACTTTCAGAAATCAAAACTAAGCAAGTAAATATTTAGAGAGAGGAAATGAAACAGGAAAAAGGGTAACCAGTATACTGAACATTAACCAACCTGAACAGCCTCTAAATCCTTGTGCATGAACCACCATGGACCAGATTTTGATAGTAATCTGAAAATGAAATTAAATACACAGTGAGGAGGAAGAAACACACACACATATATATAGAAAATAGCACTGAACCAAAAAACGTAAAGTCTGCATAAGCATAGTAACACACTTTGGGCAAAAGCATAGGAACATGCCTTGGCATGTTGCACAAATGCTCGGCATCGAGAACTTATTAAAAGAATTTGGTCACACAAATAAGAGGCTTTGAATTCAATGAAAAATGATACTGCATCACAGATTAGAGGATTTTTTTGGTTATGGTTTGAGTTACACCCATAAGGAGGCATAGATTAATGACTAGGTAATACTAATTTTCACAAAAAAAAAAGTTAAAAATTAAAAATTAAAAAATTGGTGCTTCATTCCTTAACCAAAATTATAGCTGCAAACTAAGTCTTTGCTCTTGTAAACAAAAAAAAGTTCACCAAAAATCGTTCAACTCACCTCACAAATCCTGCTGCTGTACGCAAGCCCATAAAAAGGGCCAGACCAGACCAAACCCCAGGGAGGCCCATACTCGATGGAGCATAAAGCAGAAAGGCAGATGATATTAATCCAACCAACATCTGAGGATCATTTACCAGGCATAAGATTAACCCAAAATATGGATGCTCAGGAAAAGAAAAGGAAACTACAGAGTTGCAGCTTACCATAGATTTCGCTGCATATGGAAAGTCAGAAACACCATAATGGAGACCATCAAAAATAAAAGCTAGGGCATTGATAGGTTGACTAGCACTAACGAACTGAAAAAAAAAAAAAAAAAAAATTGGAATCAAATTAATGCAAACACGGAGCAGTCAGATAAATCAAACCATACAAGATCTGAAAGAAACACCAATATAGATAGGCACACATACCAATCTCCCAGTTCTCACAATTCCTAACACATCAGCATCCTTGGTAAACAAGGTGGCTATGGAACCAAAAGATACACCCAGAACTGCAGCCAAGAAAAAACCCACAACTAGTCCAATCTAGGGAAAACACACATCGAGCTATGAACAAATTGAGAAAATAGTTATCCCAGTGTATAAACTCAGAATACAGTAGCAAGGCCAAGAAAGCCCACCTTTAAAACAAAATTCGTAACTTCTTTCACGGTCACGTGGTCACCTTCCGATGAGTAACTTGCAATTAGAGCCTATAAAAATAGATAGGTTGGGCACAAGCGAACAAGAAATAATGTGTAGAATAACCGGCTAAGTATTTGATGTTAAAGGGAACTAAAAATCACAGACATGTCAAATGGAAGTTCATATCAACTTGTTCGAAATGCAAAACTTCGATATGCACAATAAGGGATTAGTTCAGACGCAATTCTTTTGGGTACACATATTCCTTTTAGTACTAACCTATCAGCTATACTTCTGTTCTTAAATGGGTGTCTTGCTTTAAACACAAGTATACATTTGGATAATTGCAATTCAAATGAATCTAAAATATTTTCTTCAGTCTTAGAATTTAACAAATGAGAAACTTCTTTTTAGGGGAAAATAACTAAAATGGATAAAAGAGTATAAACAGGTAGATTCTAAGTTGTGATGATATGTTGCCAAGATGACTTTAATGAAGAGAAAGTTGTACCTGACCAGATGCAGCCAGTGAATCTGTGAGAAGAGATACAGCCAACCATATTTGCATGCATATCTGATGTGCAGCCATCGCTATTGCACCTTGACGAGCCGCCATTGAAGTGGCCAATGTCATGGTTGTTAATACAGCAAGAGTTCTTCCAATAAGAAAGCCACCTATAAGATAAAAAGGAACCTCAGCAAAATAAGATAAAAATACAGTAATGCATAGGCATGAAGTAGAGAACTGTTAACATCTTTTCAGAACAGCGGTTGGATGTCTCAATTGGCTAGTTTCTTTATTTTAATTTAAGGGAAAAACTCACCAGATTTCATGTAGACACCAAATTGGAGTTCTCCAATCTTGGGAGGTAATAATACAACCCTCTTATTTAGTTGCCAAATCATCAAAAACGTGACAAGGTATCTAGAACATGAAATGTTTAATGAAATTATTATCAATCAAAATAACAAAACTAAAGAAAAATATTAATGCTTAGAGAGCATAGAGAACATACTGTGACACTACTGTGGAAATAGCTGCTCCAGTCACACCCAACTTAAGATGATACATGAGTATGGGAAATAAAAATATAGCTGATAAATTACCCAAACCTGCATGTGTAAGAACTTTATCAATAATTTGGGGAGACGTAACAGAAAGAGCAGGCCATTCCAGATTAATTGCTGAGACAGACAGAGAGACAGCAACAAGATAGAGATGGAACAAGTAATACAACAATATCTTTCCAAGTATTCATCATAATAATTTTCTCTTCCCTCTAAGCAGTTCAAGTGACACAGATTACGTCAAGATTTAGTGAGAAAATCAAAAGTGAAATTAAACACTTACCAAGACAAAAAACAGGAGTTTTAGTATCCTTGAAGCCACGAAAAATGCCTTGGAGAGCCAAGGATGCTACAACAGCAGGGGCACCGAAGGCTCTTAGTGAAAGAAATCGTTCTGCAGGACTGCGCATTGGTGAATCCTGTTCAGAATATGATAAAGTTGGATAATTCTCTCTTGAAATGATTGATCTCGTAATGTACAAATGAAGGTTACATGACCAATCACTTGTTTTATTGAGTATGGATAGGAAGCTAGAGATGGGCACAGAGAAAGATGCTAAAGATTAAACAAAATGTCACATAAATTTAGTTTATGTAAAGCTTACCACTGTTATACCCATCAAGTTAAGAAATGATCCACATCCCAGAGACAAAGCCACAGCCTCAAAGATTCCAATCCCAATAGCTAATAGTAAAGCAGTGGACACAGAGGATAGTTGCTTTCTTTCAACCACCCCAATGGGTTTACCATTAGTACTGTCTTCCTGAATGCCCTTTTCTGCATAAGAAGCCATTCATATAAATATAATCATATAGAATCATCAGTCACTTATTTCAGTACTTTCTGTGCTGTGATGATGCCCATGTTCAAAATGGCAATCAAAACATCAAGCACAGGTATAGATTTATACCTGAAGTAGAATCTTTGGTTGCATTCTTTGCAATGTCTTCAGCAACAAAAGATGTTGCCACACTTAGAAGAGGAATGTTGAATAGCTTTGATATATTGTTAAAGATCATAATAGAAACACCAGCTGAGCCCAACTCTACAGAACCTAAGAAAGCAAGATCAGGGCAAAAGTTTAAAAGATCAGAAATCAGGGAAGAAAAACCAGGTAAGCATAAATACACAAAGAAAACTATAAATGCAAGGGCAGATCAATACCCAATCTGCCAATAAAAGCTGTCTCCATCAACTGGGCAAATGGATCAATAGCCTGTCCAGCAATTGCAGGCAAAGAAAGCCTTATAAGCTCATGTTTGACATCTGAAGGACGTGGTTGATTGATCAGAATCCTAGTTGACTCACTGCAAACAAAATTACAAAAACAAGTGCTGACACATAAGAATAACCGTTAAATTTCTCGAGGAACATGATCAATCTTAGAAGGCAGACAACATGGTACTCAGTTTTATTTCGCAGAAGAAACTGTAATTTTCAATGCTTCTTCAACTTTGAAGAAATTTGTAACCTATGAAGCACGATTATAACTAATTTATCGTCTCTATCAGTCTACGATTTTGATACAAAAGAAAAGAAAATACAAAAAGTCTTGCTTCAAAAAGTTCCAGAATTTTACAATAATGACATTCTGAATCCCACTAATTTGCAGACATTTACAACATCATCATTCATAAAATCCCACAAACAATTACTACATTAAAGAATCTTTTCATATTCAACACAAAGATATCATCAAACATGATGAAAAGATGGAACTTTGATCTTACATTTCTTTATCTCTCGAACCATTAACAATGACACGCTCTTCTTCTTCTAAAACCACTTTCTCCTGCATATTGGTGGATTCCACACCATAACCAGAGCTTGACTGACTATAAACCACCCCAAACCGTGCCTTCCTGCGTCTAATCACCAGTGGCGACAAAGAATTCCTCTGCTCAGCACACAAATGACACTTTCTCGACACAACATCTCCACCCGCTAATCCTTTAGCTAATTTACTTCGATTCAACAAAAAAAATTGCCTCTTTCCTTTTGTTAATCCACTCTGCTCACTACTACTTCTACTTGTCAATCCTCTGCAAAGTGTATTGCCACTGAATTGTCTAGTACTAGCCATTGTTAGCAAATTAATTCTCCCTCTAAACTTCAGTATCAGAAAATTAACTTCTCTATATCACTGCAACAAGGAAAAAATAACTGTCAAATTTAAAAAATTAAAATACATAATAAGATTTTTATTGGGTTTCATAAAAACAAAAACAGAGCATAGAAAACAAAATGATCAAGGAATCGCGATTACAAAAAGAAAAAAAAAAAAAGAAACTGACTTTTTGCCACAGAAATTACATAAAGAATGGAAATTCGAGTTAAAGAAGTGAAATTTTGGAGAAATTTCTGTATGGTTTCGACCAAAAGATAAACAGTGGAAGTGATGGAAATGAGAGCCAGACGGAATAACAAGGAAAGAAAACAGAGGAGAGAAAAGGCTTTACCTTTCCTTGTTAGGGCTTATTGGGTTTCTTTTTATAGATAGTTTGAGGTATAAAAACAAGAAAATGCATCCTTAACTTACGAGGTTTCTCCATATCGCCATGACCAAAGTGTCTGTCCGTCCGTCTGTCTGTCTAGGTGCTGAAAACCGTAACTAAAACTCTTGAAATGATCGGTGCTTATATAATGGGCGTACTTGTTAAGATGTTGTTCTTTTATGGGCCAAATCATGGGCTTTCCTTAGGCAAGATAATTGGCCCATCCAGTAGATAGCCATCGAAAAAACCCGACTTTTTTAACCTTAATCGGTTGATGAGTTTTTGGCCCTGATACCGGGCCCGACCTATCCACTAGTTAAATAATACCATCTTTATATATTAAATCATCAAATGATTATACTTTACTGTATATGAATTTATATTTTTTATAAGACATAAACATCGTAAAATATTATTACAAGGAGCAGAGAAAAATCAACCGGATCCAAACCCTAATCGCAAAATGCAATATTCGAACCAACCCTGACCAAGTCGAAACAAGAAGCATTTTGTGAGAGCAGTTTTTCGAACTTCGTAAGTGTAATGTTAATTGTTCGTGTTTACAAAGACATTCGAAACCTTAAATGGCCTCTTGGGAAGTCTTCGTGTTGCAGTCTTTTTTCTTTTTTTTCCGCCTTTTTTTTTATTAAAAAAAAAAAAAAGGGAAACAACAATTGCTAGAGGGCTATGGAAGACGAGATCAGCTAGCAATGCCTTCATCTTCCTTTATTTGTTGGACAAATAATTGCTCATATGCACCAATATCAAGAAACACAATTCTCTTCATTACAATTGCATTCTTACATCCTCGTTAATAAATCCAAAAAGCAGTCTTAGAGAAGCACCAGTTTCTTACTAACTAAAGAAGATATACAAGAAGCAGAATCAGGTGAATGGGGATGAGCAAGTAGTTCCAACTCAAACCAATCCTTGAAGCATAATTGCCAGGAGTTCCAGCAGGAGCTGTTTTGTCCACAATCAAAACACATCATAGTAAGTTCCCAATCATCACGTTAATCAAACCATTGAAGAATACCATAGGAAGCTGTTAGGTAATATAGCTAGCAGTGTTTTTGTGAGCAGTTACCTGTAGTAACTGGACAAGTGGATTGTGTGGCAAGAGTAGTGAAGATGCTTTGGTTCTTGCTGAAACCAGCATAGGCACAGGTTGTGATGTTACAACTAGAAGTTGTAGTGTTGCCGATTGTAAGCAAGCTACCTTCACATTGCATAGCAGGGCAAGTTGACCAGTTGGATGGTCTAATCCCAGATGGTTCACATTGTAATCTGGAGAATGAGAGAAAAGAATTACACCAAATCAAGAATTCTCACGATATCCACATGAATGAATATTTCAACGAAACAAAGCCATTGCGCATCAAACTTACGTCCAGTTCGCAGCATCACACTTGCATTTCACACAATTGTTAGCAGTGAAGAAATAGGTGTTATTAGGAACAAGGAAGGGATAATCCACCGAGTCACTTCTCACCGATGAATTGCAAGCTGTCAATTGGCATGATTTGAACATTATTAATTCAGATAACTACATTGAACAATAACACAAACATTTGAAGACAAACCAGAAGATCAAGAAAGCACAGTGCACTGTCAGAAAATTATGCAGTACTCAATAATTTAGTCATAATACACACAATATTTGGTCCAAAATGTAGCCTGAAACTTAACGTCAGGAAACAATAATAAGCTCATGAGGATAAGCCGTTAACAACTATCATTCAGTCTCCACCTTGAAATTCAAATGCACGAAAACAAATTCCTAAAAATGTTTGGCAAACAAAACTATATGATCTCTTATTGCTAAGTTCGAAATATTAATGTACATTTAAAGCCAATGAGCCTATAGGTTATAGCTCAACTGGCATCTCCCTCCCTAAGACTTCTAGGGTTCCATCCCTTCCCTTGCTTTCCAATGGATAGAGTAGGAAAATAGTGATCAAATATCCTTCCCGCATAAGGAACCAAACCACAAAGCCATTGCACATTACCTAGCATTACGAAAGGATTGATTCCCAGCAGAAATGTGAACACATACAGAACAGGACATTCTTTTAGGAAAAGAAGCCTCTTCGATGACATAATGAGCCAAGAAGACCAACATGTCATATGAACCAAAGGACCCACCGATTATGCTCTACATTTGCAAAACTGTGCACACCTTAATCAGTGGGCAGGAAAGGTAGAACACAGGTAAGGTGGGGGACCCTGCATACTTCAATAAATTGACAAGACCGGCTGCAGCTCACAGCTAGTTCTTTGTAGATCATACCAAACCACACGTTTTGACATGGTGCCTTTTCTAACAGGTAATAATTATTATTTTCTCCTTTCTAAAATTTCAGACTCAACACCACTAGCAAAAAAAGCAATACAAAATCTAGGAATATCCGCTTAGAAAGCATAATCCAAATTTAATATATGCCCACTTCTTCAACCACTTTCGAAAATTTAAGCATCTAATTACTCAATTGATAAGCCATTCAAAGCTACCTAGATGTTCTCCAACAAATATTTCCACAACTTCTAATAATGTGTCACGTCTAAGAAGTAAAATTGTCGTGGATGGTTTGTTTTTGACTGGATTAGAGATATGTAAAGAAAGTTATTCCCAACCTAAAAATTATATACAAATGATGTATCAAAGGCTGTAATCAGATTAACTGACCTTGGAGAGGGACATCAAGAACTTGACCAGCCAAAAGAGAACTATCATTAGCAATCCCATTAAGCTTCATTAGTGTATCTCTACTAGTCCCATATTCTTGAGCAATCAACTCCAGAGAACTCCCAGTCTCCACCACATGTCCATAATGGACAACTTTAACCCCATCAACATCATCACAACTACAAGGTAATGGAATCCACAACTTCTGTCCAACCTCAATCAAATCAGCGTTGGTTATATTATTAACAGCAGCAATTTCTTGAAATGTTACCAATCCTGAGAAAACTTCTGCTGCTATATGATAAAGCGTATCATCTTTCTTAACGGCGTAGGTTGGTTGATTATTTGACAAACCAGTGTTGTTGAAGCACAAGCAAGGAAATGGGATTTTGATGGGCTGTTTCGCATGTATGGTAAAGTTTGGTGCCGTGGAGAGAGGGAGGTTGTTGGCACCTAAGATGGAACGAATGTTTTTGATGGAAAAGAGGGTTTTGATATGGGAAAGAGTTGTTCTGTTTGGAGAGATGAAGTCAATGAGGGAATGACATGTGGAGGGTGAGCTACATTTGAAGGTCTGGGACGAAGATTTTGTGGGCAGTGTAGAGATCAATAAGAGTAGGGTGAGAAGTAAAGGAGTGAAATGGAAACCCATAATTGCTATGGTGTGATTTCTTCAGAGTTGGAAATGGGAAGAAGGTGTGGTCCGTGTGGAAGGAGGAAGAAGAGGAGGAGAAGGGGTGAGGGCAAAGTGGGAATTTACATGAGTTATGGTAAGAAGACAAAATACATTGACTGAAGTGAAGACTTTTTGAAGTTCTTGACTCCTGGGCTGTCTTTTGGAATGTGATACTAGGAGTTTAAATAATTTGTTTTATTAAGATATTAAATATAATCTTGCACAAACATGGCACTCTGGGGTTTGAATAAAAATTTCAGATTTCCATTATGGCTTAGAGTTTAGATGAGATAATTAAATTAATTTCACTCTTAAAAAAATTAAGGGTTTAGGTTACTTAGGAATAAATCTCTTAAATAAGATTTTTCAATTAGGTCAGATTGAATAAAATTAAGGCTTTAATGCACCGACAAGTTTTATTTTGCATTTTTTTTTCAATTAGGTCAAACTATTTATATTTAGATTCGTGTGATAATTAAAAAAATAATAAAAATCAGCATTCTCTTATTAAACTCTTAACCTTATCAATAATGTGGAAAAAATAAACCAACTTGGTACCCAAAGCGACTTTCTAAAGATTAAAAAAGACATCTTTGTAATGTATAAGCTGTGACCAATAAGCATTTAGCCTACATGATTTTTTTTTTTAATGTATATGTGTATGTATCATGCAAAAATAGCTAGAAATAACCTAGTGATATTCATGTACAATTGACAAATGCTAAAATGTTACCCTAAATAATTGATAAGTCCTATGCTAAATGGGAAGAGTCTATACCTAGCAAAAATGGGAAAGTTTACTACTTTTTCCTGGTGACCAAATCAAATGCAAGCAAAAGAACCAAACTAGTAAAACAAAAGGATCAATAAATGAAACTTCACAAAAAGTCTACATCTTTAGAAAGTTGAAGAAGAAATGGTTAATTACTGACCTTTAAGAGGGACATCAAATGCAGTTTCTGCATAAAGTTGACTGTCATTAGCAATCCCATTAAGCCTAAGCAGTGTGTCAGTAGTTGTCCCAAACTTTCCTGCAATCTCTTCCACACTGCTCCCGTCTTCCACCAAGTGTGCATAATGAACAACTCTCTGACCATCCACGTCTTCACAGCTACATGGAAGTGGGATCCACAGCTTCTGGCCCACTTTGATTACATCAGCGTTTTCTATCCTGTTAACTTGTTGGATTCTTGGGTGTGTAACCAAGCCCATGAAGACATCGTTGGCAATATAATACAGCCCATCATCTGGCTGGACTGTGTACATGGGCAGCTTGTTCGAGACACCTGTCCCATTAAAACATACGCATGGGATTGGGATTTTTATCACTTCCTGCTCTCGGATCGTGTAGTTTGGTGAGGTTCGGGGAGGAAGGTTGTTTGCACCTAGAAGAGAGCGTAGGTTTTTTACACCGAAGAGTTTTTGGATGTAGGAGATGGATGTGGTGTTCGGAGACTTGTAGCCAACCAAAGAATGACACGTGGATCTTTCTGTGCACTTGAATGCTTGCTGGGTTGTTGATATGGTAGAGAAGGAAGAGTATAGGAGTAGACAGAGTAGAATTTTAGCAAACCCCATTTATTGGTTTTTCTTAAAACGTACAAATTAGCAATTGGTGGAGGTGTGTTGTGCTTGTTTGAAATATGAAGTTAAGATTTGGGGAGGAGCAGGAATTTAAGAGGTGAGACTGAGAGTGAAAGGACTTGTTTTGTGGGGAAAGGTAGGCTTGGTTTCATTATTGACTTTTGACTATTCGAAGAAGACTTCGAGCTGCCCCATTTTCAGAGAATTGTTTTGGACACGGCAAGAAAAGGTTTGCAATTTGCAGTGTGTTCAAACAGAGAGATGTCGGCTTTGCTCGAGCTGTAATTCCAAGTAGGACCAATGGGACATGTTTGAGGGTGATCAAGAGTTACGTACATGGCTAGAAAGATGTGGCAGAGCAATCCTTTCGGTTGTTCGATTGCTGGCAGTGCTTTCAAGTCCATTGCCGTCGGATTATGCACTCCACTGCCTCTTTGGGTGGAGGTTTGACAGAAAGAGAGAAAAATATATGGTGGAGAGGACAACACTAAGCTGCTGAATGCTCAAAAATCCTCGCTGCAAACATGCACCGAAGTTTAAAAATATATTTCATGAAAGAAAGGAAATGCTCAGTAATTTTTTACCATGTCATTTGCAGCCTGCAATTAAATAATAATATGGTGAGGAAAAATATGTGAACATTTGAATACTTCTTCTGCCCTTTTTTTCCTTTCCTTGTGCGGTGGTTTTATACTAATCTTGAAGAAACAGTCATTATCAGTAATGAGTCTACGCTTGATTCCTAGCAAGCCTTGCAAATTATTCTCCTCTTTTGACTGGCAAAAGCTAATACGTGCAAAAAGGGGAACAGATAAAGACACCCAAAACAGTTTTTTTTTTCTTTTGCTAGCTGGTACTCCAGAATTCCATAATGATGTTGAGAATATTGTTATATTCATTTCCGGAATTAAATCATCCATTGACTGGAAATTGTGGCATCCGATCAAACAATCCAGTCATGCTCCAGAAAGTTTGGTGCGGTGGGTCAAAACCAATGGCACTGTAGAACGAGCCTCGGAGAAAAGAATCAAGAAAAAGAAAAATGGAAACAGGCACGTCCAGACTTGACCCTTTTCACATGAATTTGGTGCATTTTCTGAATTAAAACCTAGAAAGTGACAAGTAAGCAATTTCCTCAAAGCTTGCTTCTTTCTCATACCCACAGCTCAACTGTTGATAAAGATCAAAGTCTACATTTGAACAATAAGATGTGGAGTGCGGAAGCAATCTCTGGGATAAATACAGCCAAAAAAGAAAAAGAAAAAAAAAAAAAGCAGAAATATACATCACTTCTCCTCCAGGCTCCGTAGAACTGACTCGGCAAAACTTTGTTGCCTGAAATGCAAAATTGGGAAAGAGATCAGAGATTCATACAGTATTCATAGTTTAGAAACTATTCAGCAATCAAACTTATTTTTAACCATGGGACTGAGTAATTAATGACAGTAATAAGATGTGTCAACAGGAGCTGCATGTCATCAACCATTCTCACAGAGACACAACCAGAAGAATAAGGTAAATATAGAACATTAGTGGCAAAAGATGCTAATTTAAACCCAAAGAGAAACTCAGAACAGCATTGCAATAGCCTGGTGAGAAATCATCCTTTATGTTATATGTACTCGGAAATAATATTTCCAGACATGAGTAAAGCAAAGTTATAAACGTATTGCTAAAGCTAACAGTAGAAAGGAAGAGTGACTATCAGGTGTTCCAAAAAGCAGAAAGGAAAGGAAAGGAAAGGAGGAGAGGTGTTGGCCTACTTGCGCTCTCTGTGTTTTGGGCTAGGGCGAGAGTACTTCAGATATCCATCCCAAGGAACTTTTTTGAGACCAGCTCGCACAGATATAATGTCTCTGACCCTGCATAAATGCATTGAAATTGAACCAAATAAATCTATAATTAAGAAATTCACAATACATTTGCCACTGTAAAATACAAAAAGGGTGGGAACAAAAGGGGCCAATGCAAACAGCCCACATTCACTGTGTGCAGCATGAAAGAAAATAATTACCTCTCTGCAAACTCAATGGGAGTCTCTCCAGGTCTCAGATTCTGGGGCTCCAAGTACCACACATCACAAACAACAGCCCAAGATGTCATCAGCTGCAGCAGATGCATTGTGAAGGACTGCCTGCAAACAATCATAAAAATCTAACTCCTCACATTTTGAAAATTGCGTACTCTCCAGGAACTCATTGGGATTTATACAATACAATCATTAGAGAAAATCGTCTTACTTTCGGCTGTTCCAAAAGGCATCAACAAAAATTTTATTGTACTTGATTGCGATTGGACAAACAGTAGAGTCTAGTTCAAACGCACCCTGCACATCATCAAACAATAGAAGTTAAAGAATACATGCATTACAAGCTTAAAGAAACAATAAGTTTTATGCTGAATATTCGTACCTTCTTAAACATCACAGTGTAGTGGTTATTTACGCAAGTTCCTTCTGGAAATATGAGAACAGGGTTATTATCAGCTCCCCGGACATGATCCCTTAACCTGAAATATACCACTCCGTACAATCATGATGCAAACATCATTTTCACGAAAAATGATTTAACCAACAGCATTTACACTTACTTCTTTGCCACAATTTCACGATCCTTCGCCTCTGAACGATTAAACCAGATACATCCTACACTCTCTAGTATAGTGCTTTGCAAAAGTCCTGCATTTAGAGCAACCATATATCCATTCAATTTAATAAATACAATAAGCCAAACTAGGTGAAAATCATTTCAGCTTGTCCACCACATTACTTGCCATCCATGAACAAACACCAGAACAGACTGGAAACAAAATAACTTGTACAAGAGCTGGGATTTCACTATTTCTTCATTCAAAATGAAAGCACATACCACTTGTGGGATGTTATTAGTTACACATAATTCAGGGTTCCTTCGATAATGGTTGACAGACATATAACTCAGAGCATCACTGTTAATTGGATCAAATATCTGAAATAGATATGAAGCCATTTCTCACTTACCAACCCAACCAGGGTGTTTCTGCATGATCACAGCAAATGGAGTCATCTGCTCTAAGATGATGAAATCAATCATGGAAGTATGATTGGCCACAAAAACCTGCCCAACCCATGACAAGCAAGTTTATGTTAACTAGTGAGTACGCATACATTACTTGGATATGCTCAGATCAACAAAGGGTTCACAAGTGAAAGAATTAAACATCTCTTAGACATAAATACATCAAAAAGTTTATACTGAAATGAAACCTGTTTAGGCCTCATGCTAGGTCGTGGTCCATGGTACTTGACAACTCCAGTCCACGATGCAACAAAAAACATACAGATTAACTCCACCAAACACCTCTGGAAATTAATTAAACAATAGAGAATAAATTCAGCACAGTTTGCAACCACCACTTGTAGAGAAATTTGGAACTTTCAATATAGAAAAACCAGACTTTTCATATATATATATATACACATATATAAAAGAAGTACTCTGAGATAGAGATATATCTTCAACAAATTAATTATTGGCACCTCTATCTTTTTTCTCAGTTTGTCCTGCCCTTTCAGCAGAATATGCACTGGAATGTAGGATGCAAGAAAAATGATCCACCCAATTGCCAGTACCAGAACCCTGCAGATTTCATTGAAACACATCAACCAGCTAGAATGAACACAAGTTCACCAATGTAGCAACTTGTTTGAAGATAAAACATCATATTAATCAGACTCCTCATAGGAACCACAAAATTTTGAAAAAGATAAGGAGCCAGTACCAGAACCCTGCAGATTTCATTGAAACACATCAACCAGCTAGAATGAACACAAGTTCACCAATGTAGCAACTTGTTTGAAGATAAAACATCATATTAATCAGACTCCTCATAGGAACCACAAAATTTTGAAAAAGATAAGGAGCAGCAGATAATTAACATCAGTTTATCTCTTCATTGTGCCATCTTGAATGCCACAAAGTCAAGAATCAAATCGAGGACTCAAATTATCTACACTGGCATAGAGACCAAGCTTCACTTTAGTGACCCTTTTGAGCATAAAACGAAGTAACCCTTTATGGTAAGCAGACTAACCTGACAGGGAACAAAATTCCATAACGAATCACCACACCACAACACCAAAGGGGAAACAAATACACATTCCAGTTCCATGGTTCTGGAGGATTTGACTTGAAACACCGTGTAAATGAGTCCTGATTTGTTCATTGTTAACTTTGAGTTTAATCCAAACGCAAATAAATTAAAGTCAACTCTAATAACGAAAAAATAAAAAATAAATACTTTGCCGTCAAGATTTCAAAATTTCAATCATGATTAACACTAATCATCTAAATTTATCTCAAAATTCTTCTCTTTTCCTTCAATAAACAGTCTCCTTATCGTGTAAATGGGTCCTGATTCATTCATTCTCAATTTTAAGTTCAATCCAAACAAGGGCTGAATTAAAATATCAACTCTAATTAAAAAAACTAAAACTTTGCTTCAAATAACTTTCCTTATCGTGTAAATGGGTCCTGATTCATTCATTCTCAAATCTAAGTTCAATCCAAACAAGGGCTGAATTAATATATCAACTCTAATTAACAAAAAAATAAAACTTTGCTTCAAAATCTCCTTGCCAAGCCGATTATTTTCAATTCAATTAAAAAAAAAAAAAAGGTCATTTTCAATTAGCAATGCCTAAAATACTTTTTTAAGCTCAAATTTATCATGATTAAAACTAATTCATCCAGAATTAACATACAGTTCCTTTCTTTTCATTCAAAAAACAGTTTCCTTCACACACTTTCTCTTAAAAACAAACAAAACTCCAATAACACTCACATCAACAATAGCACCAGCTGCCTCTGTAAGAGTAGGTGAAATATCAAGCAAATCACGCCTAATAAAAAACAAGAAAGCCTATTAAGCAAAACTTATTAAAAATCAAACCTTTAAATCTCTGAAAACGCTGGGAAAAAAAAAAACAGAGTTTGAAATCACAGAGTAGCCAAAAATAGAACCCCATTCGAAAGATATGAGAGAGAATTCATACAAACGAAGCTTTCCATGAGGCTCCTGGATGGAGGATCCGGAAGGAAGGTAGTCTTCAATATTGGGGCGATCCAGGTCGAATTCGGAGCTTGATGTCTTCAAGTTCCCTGGAGTATCCATTTTTTTCGTTTTGATAAGCAGAGAGAGAGGGAGGGAAATTAATAGATGAAGAGGAAGAGGGTCTCTCTCTTCTTTTTTCTTTTTTTGTTTTGCGCTAACCAAAGCAATCCATATTGCTCACCCTATCTTCTTTCATTTGTGTTTATTGTTCTTCTTCTTTTTCTTTTTTTTTTCCCTTCTGAAAAAATGTTTTTTTTTTTTTTTGCTTTTAATTATTTGTATTAATATTCTTAGAATTTAGGTGATAAATGATTTTATTTTTTTTTTTAGAAAAATGAGTGTATTGATAGGTTTATAGCATACTTAGAAAGAGACATTGTGTTGTTTTTTTTTCTATGTATGTTCCTACAAAATTTAGAAAATTTTTACCAATAAATTAATTTATATAAACATGCCTAAATTTTTATTAAAATAGACGTAAAGATTATTAGGAAAAAAATCTTATTAATATATAATAAGAAATTTATAAATGATAAACCTAGGAAACTTGCACATGTTTTTGTAATAAACAAATTTATATTATGCATTTTCGAATAAATTCTTAGTGATAATATATCTTCATTTTTTTTTTAATTTCTTTTGTACCTATGGTACTAGTAGTCATCATTGGTGGTATCGAAATTGAAATTCCATTTCATTTTCTTTTATTTTTCCATGAGTATCCAAAGTAGGCCAACGCCATTTATGTTGGTAATAATAGGAGCACTAAACCATCAGTATCATTCATTACCAATAAATAAATAAACAATCAACATCAAAACTATTAGTCCATGGCAAATTAATGACCAATTAAATTATGTTCGTATTTGACAAATTGTACCGTTAACAAAAGAGATTACACGAGTTTTTGGTGGAAATTATAAATCAGTCTCTTTTGTTTGGAGAAACGAAATAATTAGTTTTTTTATTTTCAAAAATAATTTTTAATTTTTTTAAATTAGTGTTATATCATTATTAATTTAATACTTTTTTATTTTATAAAATATTTTTTTCTCATCAATCTTTCTATATTTTTATTTTTTATATTTTTTAAAAATAAAATAAATAGTTTTTAAAACTAAAAAGATTAATTATTTCATTTCTTGAAATGAGAGAAATTAATTTAGAATTTACTCTGAGCTTTTCTGGTGCTTCATGAAGTGGGAAAAAAAAAAGCCCAAAAGAAAATAATAGACCAGAAATTAAAAAGCAGTAAACTGATGGATTTATGCCAAAACAGCTGAAACTCTTTTGTTCAAAGCAATTTCTCCACAGGAATTAGATATAAAGACTTGCTTAGCAGAAACCTCTTTTGCCACCGAGGAGAGGGAGGAGGAGGAGATAGACAGTAGATTTTCAGGTTGGGATGATTGCATTTTCGTGTAATTGGACTTTGCAAATCAAGCGTTGATAATGAATTAGGATTTTAGTGATTTTGAAGACTTTTTACTTGATTGATTGGGTCGTATGTGAGTGTGAGGCTTGGAAATTTAGGATTGTGATTTTCCTGTTCATAAAATAGTTTGCGTATTTTTTTTATATATATATATTTTTTCTTTACATTTTCTTTTCAACTAAGTCTTCTAAATTTCTTTGTTTTAAAATTTTTTATGTTCATGTGACAATTTTATATAATATGGCATTATATATATCAAATTTTTTATAACATGTCACACTTATCTAATAAATTGACAAATTGATCGTAAAACCATCCGAAGAGTCATATTAATAAAAATCGTTAAAAATATAATAAAAAAATTAATAATTTTTTTAATTTGTGTGAAAAGTTAAAAACAACAATCATGTTTAAAATCAGGAATTAATTAAAGCAAATCCCCAAAAAAGTGCGACCATATATGTATGTTTTTAAATTTTTTGAGCTATGAAGGCTGAGCTAAGGTCACTGAAAATTTCTCAAGGAATAATAAAATAATTGCAAGAAGTTGAGTCGCGAGGACAAAAGGTGTCAGGACAAGTTTTTTTTTTTTTTTTTGGTGGTAATAGCGAGACTAATGGTTGCATTAGGTCAAGCTAAGGCAAAACCACAAGGAATGCATTGACAAGTGCCACCAGCAATGCCGATCTAGGGAGGAAGACTGTTTTGACAAACGCAGAATTACCTGTCCTCGTTTTATTTATTTATTTGATCTTTTTACTCTAAACATTTTTTCAGCCGTATTTTAGTCAATTTTCCAACAACAAATGATAGATTGATTACCTTGTCATAAAATAATAACATATTAAAAAAAAATCTTTTTTAATTTCATTTAAAAAATTTTAAAAATTGACACGTGTTATTATTATCGGAGGAGTCAATTCACTGTAACTTGTTGTAATTTGACAAAAATTCAATCGAAATTACCACGTTAAGAAAATAGCTAGAATAAAAAGACGAGATATATTATAAAAAATAAAAAATAAAGAAACCATATTAAAAAAAGTGAAAAGTACATAAATAAAATATGCTATAATTCTTTTAATAGTTTCATCCCTTTTGTACTTATAATACTGGTAGTTAATAATATGGTCTGTCATTGGTCGTATCGAAATTGAGATTCCATTTCATGCTTCTTTACTCCATGAAGAATTTCTTATTTCATGCCTCCTGCTATTTTTCTTTTTTATATTTGTATATAAATAATAAATCAAAAGCTTTAGATCGAGGCAGCATAATGCTAAAGTAGGAGAAAAGGTGAAAACCCTAGAAGAAAATAATTGACCAAAAATTAACAAATAAGAGAAGCATTAAACTGATCAAAAAAAGCATCGAACCAAAACAACTCAAACTCTTCAAAGGTTGGATCCACCAAAGGCCACACACAGCATCAAATAAGCTTTGCACCAAAAAAACATCGAACCCAAACAGCTCAAACTCTTTAAAGGCTGGTGAATCTACCAAAGGCCTCGCACGGCATCAAACAGAAATGAGCTTTGCTTTTTGGGTTTTGGCCCAAGATGTGGTGATGGACTTGGACTGCTTGAATGTTGCCCACGGAATTAATTTAACTCTTATCGAGACTTTGCCAATATTATTGGAGAAATTATAAATTAGTCACTCTACTTCCGGAAAAGAAAAAAGTAATCTCTACTCTTTTTCAGAAGCTAATTATTTAGTCTCTTGATGCTGTTGACTGTTTTTAATTTAATATTATGTTAATCCAAAAATTATCTTCTTTTTTCATCAATTTTTCACAATTTTAATTAATTTATTTTTATTTTTATTTTTTTAAAAGAAAGCAAAAAACATAACATGGACAGAAGGATTAAATAATTATTTAAAAAAAAGTGGAACTAATTTATAATTTAGTCCATATTATTACCTTAGGTCCTTTTCATATTTATGTTATTTACGAAAAAATGAAACATCATGTTAAAAATAGAAATAAATATTTTTTTTTATCAATATTTCCATACTTTCTTGAGAACGAATACTTGTAAATTTAATTCCTATAAACTTGATATTTCCAATACTAGTTAATGGATAAGCACTAAAATATGATAATTTACGGATTTAGATTAATAAATGATCGAAATATTTTTATTTTCTAAAATATTGTTATCATCAAATTAAAATATAAAAAAAAACCTTCTGAATAAGATGTTAATGTATTAATTGTTTTGATCGAAATTTAGATCCTAAAATGAAAAAAAAAAAAAAAATCTTTAACTATCAAATTAATTCTTTAAAGTTAGAATTTAAAAGATATGATAATGAGTTTATATATATATAATGACAATGAGTGTAATATGTGTGTGCCTATCAGTGTACGTATGCATGTATATAAGTACATGAATAAGTATATGTGTACAAGATTGCCACGTATTTTGAAAGGGAAATTGTGTATTTCACAATCATACACTTACATATGAATAGATCATTAACGCATCTATGTTTAATTTGAAACTTAATTATAATATTTTTAAGGAAAAAATAATTAGATATAGATATAGTATTTTTCTAAGATTTTAAGGACGTGATTTGAACTTGAAATACACGAAGTGTTGATCATTTTCCATATTCAAATAGACGATATTATTATTATTAAAAAAAACTTGTTAATAGATAACACCAATTTGGAGATAAGTGACATACTCAAACTAATTTAAAAAATACATGGTAATATGAAAAAATAATTCTAAAATATCCTTATCAACATAATAAAATATATGTATATTGATGTTATATGTGTACACGTGTGTGTGTTTATATATACACACACTCATTACATCGATTGTTATGGACATATCTGGCTCGACATAAACCACATGTGATTAATCTGCAAATAAAAAAAATTATATTATACATTTTAAAATGGATTTTAATGGTATATCTTCTTTTTCTTCTTCTTTGTAATTCCCTTTTTTTTTTTTTTTTATGATATTGGTATTTAATGATATGCACTGTGGTTGGTAGTCTCGAAATTGACTTCTTCTTTTTTTTGAAGTGTTGAGTAGGTAACCTAAGTTTACTTGTAATAATACATAGGAGTTTATCTATCAACGCCATTCATTATAAAAAATTAATGATAAATTTTAATGTTTATATCTGATCAATTGGACCTCGTAAATTTTATTTTCCTAAACCGAGAAAAAAAAAAGGAAAAAAACAAGAGTTTCAATGAGCTTCTTTCGAAAAATTTTATATTACTTAAAAAATAACTACTAATATTTATTTATAAAAAATAAATAGATACGAAGAAGACATAGAAATAAGAAAGAGATGACTTAAAAAAAAAGATTGAGTTTAGATAGAAATATTATTATTACTTTTGGTAGTTGCGGATACGATTTTTTTTCTTTTTAGTGTTTATCTCTCTCTTCAAAAATTAATCCATATAATAACCATTATAAGTAAATAATAATTACTTTTGGAGTATTTTAAAATTTTGAATTAATACCCTCACATGTCCTTGTATAATAACCTAATTTTTTCAATGTGTTCTTAAAAAAAAAGCATCGTTAATTTGTCCTTATATTTTGAGTTGATTTCTAATTTATCATTTTAGTTAAAGTTTTCAACTAAATTAAGCCAAATTAAGCATGTCATTTGCACATGATATGTGATTTGATAAAATTATTTTTATTATTTGGTACAAGCGATATATTTCTACTAATATAAAGATTAATTTTTAAAAATTGGTTGAAAATTTTAACCAAAATGATAGATTAAAAATAAATTCAAAATACAAAGACCAATTGAAGGGACATTTTTTTATTTTTAGAGACAAATTAAAATTTTTATTTATTATACAAGGACATGAGAGGGTATTAATACTTAAAATTTTTCATATTTTGAAAAAAAAAGAAAAAGAAAAGAAAAGGGAAGGGGAAAGAAAATGAAAGCTAGATGGCATTGCAAGTCTTTTGGAAGAATGTGAGCAGAAGGCAACAACGTCATCGCCATATTATTATTATTTTTTTTTTTGTTTTGTTTTTCCCGGAAGACGACAGGATATAACATTATATATGTATAATTAATCAAGAAAATGAAGAAGGCAAAGCTTTAGCACATCAGATGGCCAAAAAGGCCAAAACAAGGACAATTGCCCAAAAGCCGAAAGAACTTCATTGGGATTAACCAATAATTGTATTCTCTAATTCTTTAAAAGAAAACAAATGATATTTGGTCACAAAATCACATTTTCCATTTTTTGAAACATATTTTTTCTTAAAAAAACCCTATGTATGTAAATGGAAAATAGCCCCAATCAAATACTTCCTAGTTCTGCGACTGTATAAATGGAAAATAATCCTAATAAAATATAGATATACTTTAATAATAGATTCTTCATATATCATGCAAAACTAATACAACATTAGCATTTGAATATCCGTTAAAACAACCTTAAATCATGCAATGAACCAAACCAACCAGCACTTATGGATAATATATGTAAGGAAACAAAAAAAATCAAGGCAAATCCCCCAAAAAAGTGCAATCATTAATGTATGTTTTTAAATTTTTTGAGCTATAAAAGCTGACCTAAATTCAGTGAAGATGTATCAAGGAATAATAAAATAATTGCAAGAATTTCAGCCATGAGTGCAAAAGGCGTCAGGGCAAGCATTGTTTTGCTGGTGATCGTGGTACTAATGGTTGCATTAGGTCAAGCTAAGGCAAATCACAAGGAATGCATTGACAAATGCCACCAGCAATGCAAATCCAGGGAGGAAGAGTGTTTTGACAAATGCAGAATTATTTGCGCTTATGTTCCTCCTGCAGCAGATACAAATAATATCGATGGCAATCAGAATTCCTTCAGCAAGAGCTCGACGAAGAAGAATTGAGTTCTCTTTTTTCTTTTCTCCATTTGCTCTTTGAAAAACACATGTACTGCAACATGGTAATCAAAACCATGACATGCTGTGCCTAGTTTCTTCAATAAAGAGTTCAAAAGAGCAGTGTTCTTCTTCTTTGAATGTTATTTTCTCAGCTTCTACCTTTTCTATTTTCATTATTTGATAAAAGCATTAAAGAACGAAAGAATTAAGGATTGAAAAACCATTAAATCGACTGAAGCCAGCATCAGTAAGGAAAATTTCCTTAAGTGATTGGTTGGCATGAAAAGAACAAGGCACTTCAATGATGTGAACTCCGAATCCCTTTAGTCAATTGATGGAGCAGTTTTATTCTTAGAATGTTATTATTTTTTCTCTTTTTTCTATTTTCATTATTGGTTGTTGTGTAAGCAATATTTGATAAAGGTAACATGAGAATATATATGAATGTATGTATGTATGTATATACATAAGTGTATATATATGTGTGTGGACAAGCTTGCCACATATTATGAAAGAGAAATTGTGTATTTCACAATCGTTCTCATACATATGAACGGATAATTACGGCATTTGTGTTTAATTTGAAACTTAGAATATTTTTAAAGAAGAGAATAATTAGATATAGATATAAAGAGCTTTTTTCTAAGATGTTAAGGATGTGATTTGATCTTGAAATACACGTGTTCATGCTCCATATTCAAATAGACAATATTATTTAAAAAAATCTTGTTAATATTTATCATCAATTTGGGAATAAGTGACATTCAAACTAATTTTACAAAAATACATGGTAATATGAAAAAAATAACTCAAAAATATCCTTATCATCATAATAAAAGATATGTATATTGACGTTATAAAAAAAAAAATGTATCGATAACATTGATTGTTATGGACACATCTGGCTCGGCATAAACCTATTAAACTTGCACGTATGATTGTGCTTGTAATTCACCAATTTATAATATATTTTAAAATGGATTTTAATGATATATCTTCTTTTATTTATTTTTCTTAATCCCCCTTTCTCATGGTACTAGTATTTAATGATATCCATGCATTGCGGACGAAATTGAGATTCCATTTTTTTTTATATATAAGATAAATTACTAAAAACACTGTATTTAAGGTACAAAAACACTCAACATTCTTACTTTTTAAATATTACACTTTACACCTTACGATTTTAATATTTGTTTCCGAAAACCCTATATTATAATTCTTTTTACAGTGTCAAAATTCCAAATAAAAAAATTTAAATTATTACAAGTTTGCCATTATTATTTTTCTTAACAGCCCCAACGCCCTTCGAAAGCATCTCAGAAAACACCCTATTTTTTAATTTCCTCTTTAGCTGCAATATTACATGATAATAAAAAAATATTAGCTTTTCAAGACAAACAAAAAGAATTTATAGAACTTAATAACTAAACAATAGATCATAAAACACAACTACTGGAAATACTAAAGCACTATGTATTTTTGGTCCTGTGCTTCAAATAAGAAAAGGAGAAAATTTTTTAACAAAGCGCCAATGTACAGCTCCAAGATCAAGACCAAATTTTAAAAATTTATAAGCCAATGATCTTGAAAAGAATCCAATTCCTAGCCTGAAACTATAAAATCACAATGAATCCATCTACATGGTTGATAAATCACTAATGAAGTCCTCCCACATATCACCTGCAATTGAGTCACGCAACTGAGAACTAAATTCGAGCTGTTCTGTGTCAAAAGCGATGTCCTCAACTTGCATAATTGGCTGTTCAACCTCTAGTGGGGTAATTGCTCCTCCATTTGCAGTACAGTATCATGTTCATACATTTTAAAAATCAAATCATCTATCTGGTTTCTCCCTACGAATGTAGTTGAGTAGCGCGCATGCTGCTACAACCAACTTAACCCGTGTTTGTAACGGGGTATTGAGGAGCAGACATCAGTATAGGGAAACGTGAAAGGAAGTTCCAATTTGCAAATCTGAACCATAATCTTTAAGGTAGAAAACTATACAGGAAGCAATTTGATAAAACAAGAAGAGAGCAATGAGGGTAGGTTGATGTGAGTCCATGAGCATTCAAAGCTAGACATTGCCCATTTGAGGCTTTTAGCTTTGCCAAGATGGACTAACACAGGGCAAGCAGTTAACTATTAAAAGAATATAGCCTGAACAAAGATTAAGGTGCTTCTAATGTGTGCTATGAATTATGTAAAAACACCAAGAGGAAATTTACGAAAGCAGTAAAATTTATGAATAGTCTCCAATGATTCTGCACCTCCATCGCACACAAGAACAGAACAGGTAATGAGAAATAGATTGATGTGAGTCCATTAGCATTCAAAGCTAGACATTGCCCATCTGAAGCTTTTGGCTTTGGGAAGATAAACTGAGAACAAGCAGTGAGCCATAAACAAATAGATTTAATCAACCCTGTAAGTACGTTCACCAAGGAAATAACCACACAAATCATTAAACACTAAGCAAATGCAGTAGCAGTCATGTTTCATCTCCACTGATCTGCATCTCCATCGGATATAAAGCACAGAACAGTATAGAGAGAACAATTTGATACAAATCCATCAGCATTCAAAGCTAAACATTGCCATAAGACTCTTTAGCTTTGCCAAGATGGATTGTCCATTAAAGTACAATCAGATTATACCATCACCATTGTTTCTTCCTATCAAAAACTTGAAGCAACAAATCTTTGTCAAAATCACCATTTAAGCATAAGCATAAAACACAACTTTGTCAACATAACTACATAATGCATCTTTACACTAAGCAATGCTGTGAGCAATCATGTTTCATCTATACTAATAAGCATCTATATGGAAAATAGAGTACAAAACAGTTTAGAGAGACCAATCTGATATTAGTCCATTAGCATTCAAAACTAAACATTGCCCATAAGACTCTTTAGCTTTGCCAAGATGGACTGTGTATTAACGTAGAATCAAATTACACCATCACCGTTGTTTCTTCCTATCAAAAGCTTCAAGCACTACACCTTTACCAAAATACCATTGAAGCACCCACATAAAATATCTTACTTCCAAACACAGAGTTATCTTAACCACTGAAATTCTAGACGAGTCTGAAACAAAAACAAATTAGCTGCACTCTTAGAGAGAAGTACAAAATCTTACCACCATAGTCCTTGCATTCAGGGTCTACCTAAGAATCCAGAAGTACAAAGAGAACACCAGGCAGACCTGTTAACAAAGAAAATAAAAATCAACGAGGAGGAAAGACAAGGTAAATCCAACTTTTGAATGCAAAGTTAACATAGAGCGAGTCCACTGAAAAGAAAAGGCCAAACCCATATTGAAAAAAGTTAAAAATTACATACATCCAAAATTTAACACAACTTCAACACAAATCACATGGTCAATGGTGATCAAGGATGCCACAAGGTATTAATTGAAGTAGATAAGCGCATGCTATGCCGCAATACCATCAACAAATCCCACACCAAGCATCTGAAAATTTAAGTAAAAATCAAAATTTAACAATTAGGGTTTTTGGGGAGTTTCAAATTAACAGATTAAAAAATCTTAAAAACAAAAATATTTTTAAGGGTTTTGCTCAAAACAACCAATTAAAGCATAAACAATCAATTTCGAACCAAAATATAAACATTAAACCATTTAGGCTTCCTTAGAATTTCAAAACAGAGCTTATAAATCCTTAAAAAACAAAATAAACTTTATGGGTTTTGCTCGGAATTCTAAACATATAAACTTAATCCAAACATTTTATGATTTAAATACCTTTTGTTTAAAAATTTTAAGAATCGGAGTTATGGTTTCACATACCTTCTTCGATTCGTTCGATTAGTCTTCGATTCTTGTTCAAACAGCCAGAAAAAATTTCGATCAATCACAAGAGGGATAAAAACAAGGCTTTTTAATCAAATTTACTGGATTGGTAGTGTGATCTTTCGTTTTTCTCTCTCTTCGAACAGAGAGACGAAGAAAAAGGGAGAGAAACAGTTAGGTGGGCATGGGAAAGAAAAATTTAGCTAGCCGTTGGGGTTATTATATATATAAGGGTATTTTAGACTTTTTCTGCTGCACATGCCTGAAAATTAACCGTAAAATACATAAATCGTTAAGTGTAATTTTTCAAAATTAAAGATGCAGAGTATTCTGGCCATCTAAATACAAATTGTTTTTAGGAATTTAACTTTATATATATATAAGACTGCATTCCATTTTCTTTTATTTTCCTTTCCACTTTTATTTATTTTAATTTTTAATTTTCTATAAGATTTTTAGTGACGTCTAATTAACTAAAAAAAACTTTAATTGAAGAAATTTAGAAAAAAATAAAAAAATAAGTTTTTCTAAACTAGTTAAAAGTAGAAAAATTAAAAAATCGTGTTCTCTAATTTTTCTAAATGGAAAAAAAAATCGTATTTATCACAAAATCATATTTTCCATTGTTTAGAGATATTTTTCTAACAAACTCTATATGTAAATGGAAAATAAACCTAATGAAATATTTCCTTAATCTAATATTTCCTAGTTGCGACTGTATACACTCTGTGGATTAAAGGAAAATAATCCTAATAAAATACATATATTTATGTAAGAGATTCTTTATATATTATGCAAAACTAGTACAATATTAGTGTTAGACGTTAAGAAGATTGTCTTTTTTTTTTTTTAATTGTCTGGTCAATCCTAAATAATGTATTTTTAAAAAAATACTACTAATTTATAAAAAAAAATTAATTTTTGCTTCTTTTTCTTGTTCTTCACTAAAAAAAATCAGCATTCTTTATATTTTCTCCGTATATAGACAAATTTAAAAAAAAAACCTTGTGACATGAAAAATATTTATTTTCTAGGAACTTTACTGCATGCAGAAATTTTAGGAGTAAACTATTTCCATGCTATATTTTTACAATTATTTTAAACTTGATTATTAATTAACTTAATGATTTTTTTATTTATCAATTTAATTATATGTAATGTAGGATTAAATTTGATAACTAATAATTTTAACAAAAAATATATTTTAAAAAAGTATAAACAAAAAATGTTAACATAACATAACAATTAATAATTTTCTTAAACTGTTTTAATATATATATATATAATTGATAGAGCATTTGAATTATGTTAAACAACCTTAGATCATGCAACTAGGCAACTAATATGTAAGGAAAAAATAAATAATTAAGGCAAATCACCAAAAATGTGCGATCCTTCATGTATTGTTTTTTTTAGCTATAAAAGGTGACCTAAGGTTAGGGAAAATGTCTTAGGAATAATATAATCATTGCAAGAATATCAGTCATGAGGACAAAAGGTGTCAGGGCAAGCATTTTTTTGCTGGTAATAGTGGTATTAATGGTTGCATTAGGTCAAGCTAAGGCAAATCACAAGGAATGCATTGACAGATGCCACCAGCGATGCCAATCTAGAGAGGAAGAGTGTTTTGAAAGATGCCTAATTATTTGCGCTTATGTTCCTCCTGCAGCAGATGCAAATAATATTGATGGCAATCAGGATTCCTTCAGCAAGAGCTCAACAAAGAAGAATTGAGTTTTCTTTTTTCTTTTCTCGATTTGCTCTTTGAAAAACAATGTACTTCAACATGGTAATCAAAACCATGGCACGCTGTGCTTAGTTTCTTCAATAAAAAGTTCAAAAGAGCAGTGTTCTTCTTTGAATGTTATTTTATTTTTTTCTTTTTCTATTTTCATTAATGGTGGCTATGCCAGCATTATTTGATAAAAGAATTAAGGATTGAAAAACCATTAAATCGACTGAAGCCAGCGTCAGTGAGGAAAATGTCCTCAAGAGATTGGTTGGCATGAAAAGAACAAGGCAATTCAACGACGTCATGATTTTAAAAACTTGCCACAGGAAGCACATGAACTCTGAATCCCTTTAATCTATTGATGGGGCAGATGGTAATCGTATAAGTAAAGTAAATTTATATAATTTTTAGGATTCATACTTGCTCATGATTCGAGAAATTGAATTGCGGTTTGGTTTTTGACTTAGATGGTGAAAAATGAAACGAGTGTTGAAAGTTCAGAAGTACCTCCATCTGTTCGATAAAATGCCTGTTCGAGCAAGAATGGAAGAATGTTGATTCTGGTTTCATCGGGTAGCACGCACACTGGTTCGATCTTCGCTTGGAGATACTATCTTTCATTTCCGACCCATCAAGAATTCAAGATTCGAGAGGGGTGTCGAGAGGATCTGGAGCTGTTATATTCTTTCACGGTCTCTGTGCAGCAAGAAAATTTTGCAAAGAACCCAGGCTTTATCTCTGTAAACAGTAATCAGGCATTATCATTGACAGGGTCACAGGCCTTTGGTTTTAGGCTTATCAGGCCTTCGGTTTTGGGCTTATCGGGCCTTTGATATGATTGCGGAGTTGTACTCGAGGAAATGTTAAGCAGATTACTAACCTTTTGTTTTTCCAGTTTTTTGTAATTTTGAATTGGAAAACGATCTGTATTATGACAAAGTAACTAATAGAGACAATTAATAATAGATTAAAAAGTTGATTAAGTTTACCACTTATATCATTATCTCTATTCATTATTTTTTGGTTATTTATTTATTTGTGTGATATATTATTTGGTTTTTTCTGATTAATACACACATTAATGGACACTAAATTTCTTCTCTGAATTATTTTAAAATCATACTTTTCATATTAGTCTAGTGCTTTCAAGATAATTCTTTTAGATGGTGATTTAAGATTCAAACTCGAGAGAGAAAAAAATTCATCAATCACTTGAACTTCGTATTTTGAAGTTGTCACGCAAATTAATTGAGTTAAATCTTTTTAAATTTAGAGTAACAAAAAATAAAATAATGATTAAAGAAAAAGAAATTAACATAGTTTAGCTGTGATGGCCTATTTTACATACGCAAAAATTATAAGAAATTACATATTATATTTTAGTTGATTCGAGTTTTAAAACATATTATAAATTATGCATATTTATAATGGGTAATATATATATATATATCAATTGTTTTCGTGATTTATTTTAATAAATTTCTCGATTGATCCTTCCAAGCTTGGCTTCTATCACTGGAATATTTGGTCAATAAATAGCTGTTTTTTTTTTAAAAAAAAAAAAAAGAGAAAAACCTTCAACATACAGTGTGTTGAGAATCCACTTCTTGTTAGCGTATGATACCTTTTTGGGAAGCCGAGGGGCCACGGAAACAGTCCCTTTTGGAGACTTTCACAAGGAAGTTAGCAACAACATTAATCTGACCAAAATACAAAAACATTATCCAATAGTACTGCTGGGTTTGATCTGTTGGGTTTGGTCCAAACAGACAAGGTAAGTAAAAATTCAGTCTTGAAGATAATAAAAGTGCCAGAAACCATCAAGAATCCAAAGTCGACAATAAAGTATGACTGAAATTAGCGGAAAACATTGAATGGGGTGGACGAAAATAAATCTTTTATTTTTTATGAACAGATCAAGGAACATGGTAGTTCCCCAGTGGGAATATTAACATTAATTTCTGATCATTTGGTTCTTGTTTCAACTCCTTGCATGATGAAAAACCAGATTATTATTTTTATAAAAATAACTGCTTTTATTTGTTTATTCTTTTTGCCCCCACAGTCTTATTTTGCCTATTTATAAATATCATATCTCATAAATAAGTTGAGATGTTTCTTCATCATGACTGATGAGAATGGTATTGAAAAGCAAATTTGCCTAGATTTTAATCCATCTCCAATCTGAGAACTTATTCCTCTTCCTTTTCCTCTCTCGATTTAGAGTTCCAAAAGTCTTTTGAGGTTTGTCTAGTGAGACTTTATGTCTTTAGATCTGAATTATTTATTTATTTATTTTTATTGTTGGGAGTTATTTTATAACTGAGAAAGAAAGATCCTAACTCTCATTGATTGATTTATTTATTCGTTAAAAGATAACTTTCATATATAGAAAACACATGATTATTTGTTTATTTATTTATTTACGTGACATTAATTATAGCAAATGTGCACACCAATTACAGTCGTGGCTCCCTTGTGGCTATGACAACAACATCAATGTGCTTGCGTCAATTGCAAGGAAAACATATCAATCCTTTTTTGTGACGAAAAAATTGTTAAAGTTGATGTTTTCAATGATATAATTATGATTATGCCTGTCAACTAATGAAAGCAACAAAACACCCCCCATATCCAGAACATGAGTAGTGGTTAGTTGCCTTAACAAAGACTAAGGGACACAACATCAACCTTTCCAAAAGATATTCAATAGACCATTTCTTTTATGAAAGAAGATTGGCATCTCATTTTGCCTTCTTAATTTCAAAATCTTGTATATCAAGCAATATCAAAAGTCCCAAAATTCCTTTCCTTGGTTGCCTCCTTACCCAGATAAAGCAAAATTCTTGCATCTTTTTACAGATAGATCGATGGATATACTCGTACAAATAATAATAAAAAAATTATATATGTATAAATATATTGAGAGTAAAAATTTATTTTTAATTAATGAAAACTGATTTGAAGATAGTTTATTATATGTAATAGCAATATCGAATTCCAATGGGGTAATTCTGAAGACAATTGTTATTTTAATATAAAAAAAATGTAACAATAATCATCCAGCTTTTTATCACTTTTGACAATTTCTGCATCTATCAACCACTCAGATTGTTTTTATTAGCTCGTTGTTAGGTGGGATTATGTGCAAGTACAATAATTTTATTGCCCATCAACTAACCACCTAGATTATGACCTAATTAACACTAATTTAAAAACTAATTACAAAAGGATTATCTCCGATCTGATCTGGGCAGACAGGAGATGAGGGTCCACATAATCAGTTTTGACCAAAATCATGATTGTCTGATCTAAATCACATGGTTCGCGAATGTACCAAAATTTATCTGGCAAGCTTTGTCCCAAGAAATTATCATTATAGGCTTTATAGCCCTTTTCAAACCACCAAATTAGTGTCAGTCCCTTATAAGATATTATCATCATCTTTAAAATAACAAAGACTTCCCTTTTTTTTTTTTTTTAAGTTTATCAGAAGATTCATAAATTTTGATCCTTACATAATAATTAAATAAATTAAAATTAATAAGACTTGAACTTATTTTATTTTAAAAAATTATTAGATACACAACTGTTAAACTTTATATTTTTTTTTCATACTAAAGTTATTATATTCTAAGAAAAATTATGAAAATAAAATTTTCGTAAATCTTTCTATATATGGACATAATATTTATTGATTTCAAATTAAGAAAAATCACTGCTCCATTTGTCTTGGAAAATTTACGTAATAGATTAGGTGTACCGATTTACTAATTCAATATTATTGAATGCCTAGTTCATGATAGATAGGTCGGATTGAATTAATAAAAAAAATAAAGATTTTGAGTTGAAGTCAGATGTCCATTAAACTACTGAGATAATTACTATTCAGGGTCTTTGATCCGTTACATATAATCGGAAAAACAAACTAGAAGACTGCAGGGGTTTTAAAAAGCTAAAAAACAAAAGCACAGACTTAAATCACATCGTAAAACGTTATTAATGGGGCCAAAACGACAATGTTTAAGTGGCCGTACACTTTGTCCCACTCGCTCGGACGACACGTGAGGGAACGTCCCATCATTTTACAATGTTCAAAAACGGCACGCTCTTCAGCTGTGTGTGGGAATTGTGGTTTCCAGATGGTGTAAAAATTGGGCGGTTTTGTTAGCACGTGTCTGTCACGTGCAAAGACAGCGAGCAAACAAAGATCTTGCCCGGAAGTTAGAAAAATTCCTGTGTGATTCACTCACACCTTGCTCTACACATTATTATTTTTATCCGAGATGAAAACATTAGCATAAACAAGCTAAGACTTTTTATTCCGTAACAAAGAATAAAAAATATAGTACAACAAAAATTCTCCTAAAGTTTCAAACTATCTTTATTTATTTTTTTATTTGTCGGAAAACTTCAAACTATTTTCAATCATATTATATTATATTAAAAAGATTGAGAAAGTTAAGAATTCTGGTCTATTTCGTTGAATAAAACTGCTACGTGTACGCAGGGCGGAACATAGTTTTTAAGTAGCTTCCTTTTTATTGAAATTAGATCTTTTGCCATAGAAGGAAAAAATAGAAAATATTAGGCATCTTCTCCTTTTCCTTCTTCTTAATGTTCAAAAACACAAAAGTGGATAATTAATACAGATTAAAATCTCCGTTCTTATCCGTTAGTGACCAAATTAGTTGGACTGTCAAATTTATAAAAAAATCGATACCCTTTCTTAGGATAGAAAATAAAAATCGCAAGTACAATTTTTCCTCCAAAAATGTAAAAAAATCTAAAACCAATTATTACCATGTAATGACCCACACGTCCAAATCTCACCCCACCTTACGAGTCACGACCAAACCCCGAATAAAATACTCGGCTCGACCCTGCCTAGGTGGAAAGGCCCGGGCGCAGGCCGTTTCCGGTGCAAGGGTCGGGTTCTCAATCTATTTAAACCTTTTTCGTGGGACCCTCGTAAATAATAATAATAAAACTCATACAGAAATGTGTTTTTTTGGTAGCTGCAGCAGCAGCAACAGAATATCACCTTCCTCTGCTCTCCTCTGTCCTGCTCTTCTCATGATCTTTGACATATTTTTCCCTCCGCCATTCAGAAAGCTATCGTTCAACAACTCTCTGTCTCTCTATTTTTTCTACAATGAAGAAAAAGAAGAGAGAAACGAAACGGCGTAACATCGTTGCCGCCATGCTCCACTGGATTTTGTTTACGCGTCACTACTTGCTTCGGTTTCCGTTACTCTCCGCTATCTTCGGTTTTCTCATCGTTTTCTTTGCCGCCTTCGCTTTCCTCTCTCCTCTTCCTCCTATTATTAACCAGCACCACCACTCCTTACAAGTACTCTCTCTCTCTCTCTCTCTCTCTCTCTCTCTCTCTCTACATCTTCCTCTCTCTGTCTCTCCGATTTTTGCATTCATGATTATATCGTGTTAGTTTGCTTCGTTCTTATGCGAGCTGGACGTTTACGTTTCTGTTTCGGTTGTTTTAGTTAATTATTTAATTAGCAAGCTAATGATAATGATTTTCTGTTTTTTTTTTTTTTTTGTGATGAATTAGTTAAAAAATGGAGCTAAAGTAGACGAGTCAACGTCGTTACGTACAGAGACGTCGCCGTTTCGTGTTCCGGTATGTAACTAATTTAAGGCTTTCTTCTTCAGCTCGTACCAGCCTGTGTGTTTAGCTTGCCTGATTTTTGTATTGTTTGGTTTTCTGAAATGTATAGAGAAGTGGAGGGCGATTAGGGCGTCATTTATGGAGCTCAAGGTTATCGAAGTTTTTCTATGGCTGCAGTAACGCCAGCGATAGCTTTCAAAGTAAATTCTACTGGTTTAGTATCTGTTGTTTTCCTCTTTATTTGGAGATTCTAGCGTTGATGGTAATCTGGTGTTAGTTTATGAATAATTGGAGGAATGATAGTAGTAGTAGATTCGAATCTAAATCGCTTAAAGAAATTTTCTAAAAAGATGCGGAGTTGGTCGCAATGGGAAATCAGTTTGTGTGTTCTCTGTGGGGTTATGGATTATGAATTTGACCTTGTTTAATCGGGGAATGGTGATAGATTTCATGTCTCATTTTGTTGATTAATGGAGTTATATTTATCATTCAGGGGATTGTGTTAATATATTGAGTTATATCAAGGATTTTTTTTTTTGGCATACTGGGTTTCACTTTGGGAGACACAAAAATAGCATTGCGAGAGATCAAGGGCCTTATTTTTTAGATTTTTAATTTGACTGTTAGTGTAATCAGATGACTTAGAAATTAATTTGATGGAGGTGTGTTTTTATATGTCGTAGCTGCGGATTTGAAAACGAAAAGTAATCAGTACTTGTTGATTGCTACCAGTGGAGGGTTAAATCAACAGAGAACGGGGGTGAGTTTCAAACATTTGACGTGTAAATTTGATACAATCTGTTAATTGATAACTTACTGCAAATAGTCAGTTTGCCTTAAGATAGATAGGTAGGTAAATTAGTTTGTGATTCTGAGATTTTTATGACCATTATGACTGCAGATAACAGATGGTGTTGTTGCAGCTTATATTTTGAATGCTACTCTTGTTGTTCCTAAGTTGGATCAGAAGTCCTTCTGGAATGATAGTAGGTGTGTTGTTTTCATTGCCATCATTCTCAATTTTGTTTGCTCAAATATTAGTATGTTCATAATATTCTGGTGTTTGATGCAGTGATTTTGCTGAAATATTTGATGTTGACTGGTTCATTTCATTCCTATCAAAAGATGTTACTATCATCAAACAGCTCCCCACAAAGGGTGGGAAAGTTTTGACCCCATATAGAACGCGTGTTCCCAGGAAGTGTACTCCAACATGCTATATGAATAAAGTTTTACCGGTTCTTAATAAGAAGCATGTAAGGATTCTACTAAAAGTTTAATACCTGTGTTTATACAGAAGCTGGGAAGTTGCACTTCTTTAAATTCTATATTTTCATTTTTGTTCCTCACTTCATGATTGTACATGGTTCACCCTAATTTTGTGCAAAGCTTTAACACGACATGAGTTTATCACTCTATCTTTCTAGTTTTGTTAGCTAGAGTAATGGAAAGGCTGAATACAGATATATGTCTTGACTTATGACTTCAATTCTTTCAATGCTGCATCAGCAATAGACGCTAGTGGAATTTGATGTGTCAAGCTGTATATTGAGATATATTATGGTTAACGTTTAGTTAAAATTTCAATTTATCATGTTTAAGTTAAATCCATGAAGGAATGCGCAACATAATAATACAATTGCAGTTCCACCAGCTTTGGTGGTTGAATGTACATAAGCGAATCTGGGAATTTTGGAAAGCAACCATCCTTGGCCAAAGCTGATGAATATCTGTAATTTCAATGTAGAATGTGATACGTATAGAAGCAGGGACATATGGACAGAATCCTTGTGCAGTAGTGAAACTGAAAGCCAAGTAGGGAAAGCAGGGACAGAATATCAGAAATTGTTGGATGTTCTTTCTGGTTTCAAAATTTTGAAATATTTGTTAATATCATGTTTTCCAGCATTGGTTTCAGGGTATTCGTGAGATTAAGCTCATGAACATTAATGACACACTACTTGACTTCTTGGCTTCCTGATTCTTCTTGTTTATGTTAGCTCACATTTGCTGGCCATCCTTTGATTTTATAGGTTGTTCAGCTCGGAAAGTTTGATTACAGGCTCTCAAATAAGTTGAGCCCAGATTTACAGAAGCTCAGATGTAGAGTCAACTACCATGCTTTAAAATTCACAGACTCAATTCTTGAAATGGGCAAAAAGCTGGTTCAGAGAATGAGGATGAAAAGTGAGCACTTTATTGCCCTGCACTTGAGGTAAGGTCCTTCTCAATGCTTGATTATGATAGTTTTCTTCTAGAAACATCTTATGTTATTTTTTTAATCATTGTCAGGCAAGATTTTTATTATCGAATTGCTTTGGGGGGTTTTTTTTCCCTATCTATGCTACATTTAGAATATTCAACATAAGAGAGTGTCAGAGGGGTTCATTAACACAAATTTAACATTATCATGTTATAGGTTTGAACCTGATATGCTTGCATTCTCCGGATGCTATTTTGGTGGGGGAGTAAAAGAAAGTATGGAACTTGGCGAGATCCGAAGGAGGTGGAAATCTTTGCACGTGAGGCTCCATTAGTTTCTGAGAACACTTGGCATAATCTAAATGGTTTATGAAGCATGGTTGATATGTTTATTTGATGTGAAATGCAGGCAAGCAACCCTGACAAAGAACGAAGGCAAGGAAGATGCCCTCTCACACCAGAGGAAGTTGGTCTTATGCTGAGAGCTTTGGGTTTCGGAAGTGATGTTCACTTATACGTGGCTTCAGGTGAAGTATATGGAGGTGAAGAGACATTAGCACCACTCAAAGCTCTCTTTCCAAATTTTCATTCAAAAGAGACTTTAGTGAGCAAGAGAGAGCTGGCACCATTTTCATCATTTTCTTCTCGAATGGCTGCACTGGATTTCATTGTTTGTGATGAAAGTGACGTTTTTTCTACCAACAACAATGGAAACATGGCCAAGATATTAGCTGGTCGAAGGTACGTATGCAACTTCTTGTTTTTTTTTTTTTTTTTTTTGCACTACAGTTTGTACAGAAGCAACTCCAAGGACCTTACTAACTGGTGTAAAATTCTCTCCTAGAAATGTTATGCGCTCTTCTTGTTTTTGTTTTCAAGTCCAAACTGCTTAAAAGTTGAAGTATTTCCTGCTACAAAAACAAATCATTGGCAATTCGTGGGGCTGGCAAAGTCATACAGTTCCCTTGGTGTATTGCATTTTCCTTTAAAACCTTTTAAAAGACATCTGAAATGTTCTTCCTCCTTGTAGTTTCCTAGACACCTCAGAGTCTTGCTTTGTGCTAATGGCTTTGGCAGCCCACTTATCCACATATTTTTTTCGTACTGCAGGAGATACTTTGGGCACAAACCAACAATTCGTCCAAATGCTAAAAAACTCTATAAATTGTTCATGAGCCGGCATAACAAAACATGGGAAGAATTTGCGTCCAGGGTTCGAACTCATCAAATTGGTTTCATGGGAGAGCCAAATGAGACGAAGCCTGGCAGAGGTGAGTTCCATGAAAATCCTTCATCATGCATATGTGAGGATTCTGTATCTAAGGCTGGGGCAGGTCTGAGTCCGACTCCTCAGAATCTAACGCTCGAGGGTTATAAAAATGGTAGAGAGAATATCAAGAGGAATGAGACTAGTGATGTGACTGATGAGCACTCAATAGAGGACGAGCATGATCAGGACGCGAGTGACATGGATTATGTGGACAATGGATCTGCGGTTCAAGGTAAAGGCCAGCCTGGTGAAATGCTTCTGGAGGAATTCTTTTCTGACTGAGGAAAGAGACTGCAATTTTTCAGATAACAAGAGTAATGAGTTTTTAAACCTAACCCAATTCTTCAACAAATTCTTTGGGTCCTTTCCTTCGCTTTTCAATATCAACAGTTCATCATCTTCTGCAACTGGCATTCTGTGAAAAGAACTTTGTATATACAGAGGCTTGGCAACTTTTTGTAAGTATCAGTTCCTTGCTCCATTCAGGCGGCTGTCGTAGGCAGAAAGCCACATCAGTGGCTGAAAACGGAGCAACTCAACTCTTATTTTTTCCTTATTGGTCGGCGATTCTTGCCGTAAGGTGAGATGGGTATAGAACTGGAGGACCATGAAAATATACCAGATAGACAACCCTGCAATGAAAAAGAAATCGGGTCTTTTGTTTTTATTTTTTTGCTCTCTTTGTAATTCAATAGAAAAGGAAATCAGAAAGGAGACATGGATGTTAAATATAGCAAATTGTAAGTGATTCAATATAAAGCTTTTTTTTTTTTTTTGGTTATTTTCCCTATATAGGATAATTTTTTGGTCATTCACATACCTCAAATAGTTTTTTTTTTAAATCAGAATTTAATACTTTTTTCATAGAATAACAAATATATGTATGTGTTGGTTGATAATTGTCCTTCATCTAAGAGTGCTTTTCTAATTTGATTTTTAGCTTCCTTAAAAGATCAACGAATCAGATTGCATATACGCTAACTGAGTTATCTATTTCTTCGTTTGTTTGATCTGGTGGAGTGAGATCCTGTTCCTAGTTTCTGATGCAATGCTTGGATTGTGATTTTCATCCGTAATGAAGCTTTCTAGTTCAAAAAAACAAATATATGTATGTCTTGGTGCATGAATGGTATAACGATATCGTTTGGTTGCAAGAAAGAGGCGCCAAAGGGCCCTGTCTTTCTTGTTAGTATTTAGAGCGAAGTACTCGTGGCAAAGATCGTGATCCATTTGAGAGAACGACGTGGCAACTTTCCCATCCATAATTCGCTGCTCTTTCTGTCCTCTCAGTTTCTCTCGTCTCTCTCTGTCTCTCTCGCCTTCTGTCTCTGCTTCGCTTCCCCAGCAATGGCATGCAAACTTCCAACTCAGCTAGCAACGCCAGGAAAACTCCATCACCACCGTCAATTCACCATCACATCCACAACTAATCCCCTCTCCTGGCGTAGGACTCTATCACCAGAGCCTATCCTCTCTCTCTCCACCTCATTTCCTTCAGGGAAATGTATTGTAAAGCAACTCGTCACATGCAGTGCTAGTGGGACTGCTGAGGCAACAGGGACAGTGAATTTTGGTCCAGGGACTCCAGTTAGGCCAACTAGCATATTAGTTGTAGGGGCCACCGGTACTCTAGGCAGGCAAATCGTGAGGAGGGCTCTTGATGAAGGTTATGATGTTAGGTGCCTTGTTAGACCAAGACCTGCTCCTGCTGACTTCCTTCGTGATTGGGGTGCCACTGTCGTCAATGCAAGCTATTTTTTTCACTTATTTTTTGCTTGCCAAAATAGGTTTTGCTGTGGTGTTGTAGATGGATTGATTTGGATTTTAATTTTGTTTTCAAAATGTGGATGAACAGGCAGATCTTAGTAAACCTGAGACTATACCTGCAACAATGGTTGGGGTTCATACAGTTATTGACTGTGCTACTGGGCGTCCAGAAGAGCCCATCAAAACGGTATGTTATGCTTTGAAAGATTTATATCTGTTTACTTTCTTCTTTTTGGTTTCTATTAAATACTATATTAACCTAGAAAAGTCCAAGTGCGCAATGCCTTGCCTCAAGAGCAACCGTATCTTTGTTGAAAGTTCAAAGAAAGCAATGGCATCTGCCTTGTATTGAAATTGAATGCAAAAAATGATAATAATAATAATAAGTTGTCTAAGAAGGGCTAATATCTTCCGCATGATCCGGAGATTGTGTGGTGATTAGTTTTCACAATGAATATGATTGGATCCATACATAGGCTTTTCTCTTTTTTATGTGTTGCGCGATATTTTTGTTTTCCTACAATTTTCCGTTCTTTCTTCGCAGATAGTACTGTTTTCTATCTGTTCGGTGTTTTGATTCTAAGAAAAATTGAGTTGCATCTGCCTTCTTTGGAAATGAATAAAAAGACAAAAATGAACTTGTCTAAGAAGGGTTAATATCTTCGATGACCTTTATATATTTTTCCTCAGTGAATTTAATGCCTGGAAATTTTACGTGGATGTTCCTGATTGTGTTTTATTATGTTCTTGTTGGCCTTATCTGATCCATATATTCTGTTTAGGTAGATTGGGAAGGAAAAGTTGCTCTTATACAATGTGCAAAAGCAATGGGAATACAGAAATATGTGTTCTATTCTATTCACAACTGTGACAAACATCCTGAAGTTCCACTGATGGAGATTAAGTATTGCACTGAGAAATTTCTTCAGGACTCTGGCCTAACTCATGTCATAATCCGGTTATGTGGTTTCATGCAAGTAAGTGGTCACCCAAACTAAATTCTCATTAAGTTCTGATCTGTGTTCTCTGTTAGCTAGACATCTCACATAAGGCCACTTCGTCTATCATTCTCTCCAAAAAAATTTTATCCCATATCACCCCTAACCTCGGGGAAAATTTGTGGTTGTATTGGTGAAAACAACTCCTTACATATACTCTTGATGTACTATGGAAACAACAATTGTTTGGCAAAGGATTTTTAGCTTAGCCAACTTGTAACGAGAGGAGGCATGAATCTTTTAAAAGTTAAAACGATGATGTATATACCCAGAGTCATCTATTTGTGTTCCTAAAAGTAAGCATATTAACATGGATCCTGGTCAGGAAAATAATGATTTAATATGAAAAGTAGCAGTTTTGGGTATGTGTGTGTTGATGTTAAGTTTATGGTTTTGTATTTGCATTGGCATATTTCTTCACTGATGTTGTCAATTAATGTTAACTGCAAATGCTTGTTGTTATCCAGGGTCTTATTGGGCAATATGCAGTACCTATACTAGAAGAGAAATCTGTTTGGGGAACCGATGCCCCCACAAGAATTGCTTACATGGACACCCAGGTTAAAAACTCACAATTGCTTGGGTAATTAATTTCGTGAAGTCAAGCTAAATCTGAGAATTTTTTTCTGATTGCTATCTTTCATTTGTTATTAGGATATAGCTCGATTGACATTAATAGCATTACGGAATGAGAAAATTAATGGGAAGCTTCTCACATTTGCTGGCCCTCGAGCTTGGACTACTCAAGAGGTAAAGAGATGTTTGAGAATGTGTCACCTTTGATAAAGACCAATGTTGTTCAGCCTTCTGAAATTCTTTTGCCGACTTACTGGTGATTTTTAGGTAGTCATACCATCATGTTGTTCGATGGCTTTGTTAGTTCTAGGTTTTCTTTTCTTTTGCAATGAAATGAAAATTCAATGCATTGGGTCGGACTGAAGTGAATGATGCATTTCATCTGCTCTGTTCTAAACATGCTGTCTCGATTTTTAGGTCATAACATTGTGTGAGAGGCTGGCAGGGCAGGACGCAAATGTTACTACCGTCCCAGTTTCTGTCTTAAGATTCACTCGTCAATTGACTAGGTTTTTTGAGTGGACTAACGATGTTGCTGACAGACTGGCATTTTCTGAGGTAACCAATTCTCATCTTTCCTTTCGCCTTCTAGCCGTATTGCATGAAGCAATCATTTTATCAGTCAGCACTTTGTCCTGCATTGAAGCATGCTAATATTACTATAGTTATGGAAGATCTCTTAAAGTCCGCAAACCAGATTGTTGAAAAAATGAATCGTTAGTAGTCTTCTTGATATGTGGGGTTATACCATGAACCTTCAAGGTATTGGCAGACCGCCCACCCTTATTCTGCTTTTCACATCACCCCCATTTGAGGACTGACCCGTATAAAGTCTCCTTTTTATCTGCATCTAGGTTCACAAATTTTCAGTTGTCTATTCTATTGATTTTTGGTTTAAAATTTCGTTTCCTATTTGACTGTATACAGAATAAAACAAAACTGAGGTTATTACTGCTCCTACTGGGGCATTTGCAGGTTCTTTCAAGTGATATCGTTTTCTCTGCTCCGATGAATGAGACATACAATCTTCTTGGGGTGGACCAGAAAGATATAATTACGCTGGAGAAATACTTGCAGGATTACTTCGCAAACATACTGAAGAAATTGAAAGACCTCAAAGCTCAATCAAAACAAAGCGACTTCTACATATGAAGAGAGACCATCATGTTACTGTAAATGAAGCTATATGTGTATTTAAGCACAAGTTTTATGTTTGGCAAAATGTATGAATGGGTAAGCCCTATTCATATTCCTCAACTTGCTCGTTTCTCTATTTCACCTGTTCTTTCTTCAATTTTTTTTCCTTTCGTTAAAAACGACCAATGGAGAATAGAAAACCACAATGCTTTCTTTAATGAGAGTTAGTCAGAGAAGAAATTCTGGTTAGCAGCATCTTTATTGTCTCCTTGTGTGCATAGACCACTCTAGACCTGGTGGGAATTTTCTTTCAGTTCTTTTGAAGGCCTTAGGCCTAGTAGTAAATTCTCTATCCTTCACTTTCCAATGAATATGCTTTAGGCATTGGTCCAGAGATCAAAGACTACAGGTTAGGACATGAGAATTGAGGTGCCCCAAAATCAAACAACTATCTTAGGCCTTCTCCTAACTTTTTTGGTTGCTTTTCAACTAAAATCATTCGGTGATATCAAGTTGGGGATTACTGGATTAGGAAGAGCAAAACAGGGAACTTATGTCATGGTAACAGCTTGGGCTAGAGAGACACAAGTGGATGATAGGCTTGGACTCCTTATAGCAGTGGCAACTGGCAAGCTCAATATCAAGAAGCTATCTCTGTTATCTATGCATGAGCTGAGAGGACTGCTGACTAGACCTGTAACACCTATTAGGCTTGTTTGAACTGATGGGCTCAAAAAGTAAGAAATGGGCAATAGATCACAGAGGTCTTAAGTTGACTTTAGGGCTAGATAGCCCTCACCCAAATCTAATGATAGTAGGAAGGACTTCTCTCGTATGTGGCCATTTTAGATGATGCACGGCCGAGGAATCTTTTACGGTCTTTATTCTCCTCTATCTTTAAGCAAATGAGACATTAGAGGTCGAAGTTGTTGGCATGATTAGCTTATTGGAAATTCTAGTGAAATGATTACTCTCTTTTTTATCTTTTTTTCCTTTGAATGATCGGAAGATGGAGGGGCCATCAAAGTCTTATACAGAGGAGGATACCATGCAAAGAACCTATCAACTCCATCACTGTCAAATCATTGGGAAGTCCTTACACAAATTTGATTGGAAGCCAGCTTTCATGCCTTGCAAAAATATGACTCTTTTGGTTATGACAAAATGTATTAGGACTTGGTGATTTGGTTGGAACAAAACTATTAACTGTTAACAGCTCCAAAGAAGGAAAATGAAGGGCAAACCTCAAAAGGGTCCCTTGACTATGGACCTTCTCTCAGTCGAGTCCCCAGACGAGTTTTTAATATCCAAGAGGGAGAATACTTGATTACTGATCGTTTACAAGTCCACCTGGTAAGTTTCCTATCACTATTTTGTATGAATATATTTCCCATAATTCATCCTTATCAAGAGGTGTAAAGCAAGTGACAAGGTGTTGGGCCCTTTTCTTTCTGCCTGCCTTATCTAATTTTCTCCTTTTCTTTTTGGATTTTTCAGAGTGAATGACATGAGCTTCATCTCTGGCTCTTATTATTGGTTTTGATCACTTTGACAGGCCCAGAAATATCTAGATTTATTCACATAATTATCAGGCCAAAAAAAAAAAAAAATTCATATATGAGGATGAAAATCATAAAAATGTTTAAGGTTGGAAATTTATTTCAAAAAGATTATACATCCTTTTCTTTTTGTTTCATTAAAATTTAATTTCTTTGGCATTTTTCTCTTCGTCGAAATTTGGATACACCAAGCATGTTGAAAGAGATGTACTGGTTGCCATTATAGCGACAAAGCAATTTTCATTCTGCTTCCACTTCCGATCAATTTGATAAATGACGTTACCATTCATAAATGCACCAATTTGCTCAAGTTGTACAAGTTTGAAACTTTTTTGGGCTATTATTATATATTTGCCTTCCAAATGAAATATCTTATTCTTGTTTCACATACATACACATCTTATTATTATTTCACATACATACACATTGTAGAATCAAATCGAAACAAGAAAAAAAAAAGTTACATTTTGTTCGAACTATATATATATATATATATATACTAGATAATAGAATATATTTGAGCTAATTTTCATACGAATCAAAAAAAAAATTAATTACGTCAACACTAAATCATTTTTAACTTTTAATTGATTCTAAAAATTAAATTTCTTGAATTTGGACTAAATCAGCATTGAATTGCGTCTAACTTTAAATTAATTCTAAGTGTTCTTAATTCTAAATATCGAACTCTTTGAATCCAAAATCAGTTTATGTCCAATGCTATAGGAAAAAAAAATGAATGAATTTTTCATAATGACAATAAAACTCTTAATTTGATGAGTTAGAAGCTATCTTTTTACTCTTCCACCGATAACCTTTCATAATATTTTAAAATTAAATTAAAAGTTATTGAACTAATATATTTTTTTAGTCATACACGGTTTTGCTATGAAAAGTAAAAAATATCTAAGACTATATAAAACTCAAATATATTTTTACAAAAGCAATTATATCGCATTAACAAACATCTCCCTAGTCCCTATATCTTATATAACATGACAATTTTTAACCAATTCAAATGGGTTTCCGTAGGGTTAAAAAAAAAGGGTTTTGAGATTGTTAATTTGCTATAGATGAGAAGGCCTAGCCAACGTGTGGCCTAGTGAGTCTGGCATATCATGGCCTTTGACTATCCGTAGGGAAAATGGTGAAAATTACTTACGAGTAACGAGGAGAATAAGAGAGAGGGTAGGCAGAATTTTGTATGCTTGCGAGTTTGTACCTCTCAATCACATGCAAATTGTACTAAAACTAGGAAGAACCTATCTTGAAATACGCATAAAATGGCAACACAAAACCACCATTTCTCACTAACACATGCACTGGTCTCCTTAACAACAAAGTACTCTTTCTTCAGTTTTTTTGTGTCCATGTAGGGACGTTGCACTTACACTACGACCCATTATGTTTGTAATTCATCACACTTGAAGTACGTACAATAGTGATCACATATATTCAAACACTATATCTTATTGCGGTTTTAGTGCTTTTGAAAAGCACTTTTAGATTACAAAATGATATCTTGGTGTTCTCAATAGTTTTGATATAAACTTGTCAAATTTATATTAAAAAACATTAGAAGATCTCTACACTTTCAAGCATAATGCCATATAGATACTAAGAAGTTTAATATTTAAATCCGAAATATCATATGCATCAGAATTTTACATTTTCCAACATTTGATGTTATAGTTATCGAAAAATCAATTGTTCACTAGTTAATCGTTAGGCATGTTGTGATATAGATTTAATTTAAAAAATAATGAAATTAGTCTTAATTGATTAAAAAAATAAATGGTGAAGACTTTTTTTCCTTTAATATGTAGGGTTAGAGTTCATACATTAATCTAGAATATAGAATTTTTTTTCCGATATGCATGCTCAGCTTTCCCATATTCCTATAAGAGCAATATGATTAAAATTCTGGTTGAGTGGAATTGAAAAGATGGATCTCTATCGAGGATTCTGCACGAAGTACCCCACACTTTAGGCTTTTAAAAGAATGGTAGGACAGTTTGGATATTCCCACCTCCAATCCTTTATTGACTTTGATTATGTTTTATTTTGACTTGACTATCCTAATCTTGATTAAGAACATCAACGCATTACTCTTCATTAATTATGACATAAATACAATACATTAACTTTTTTATTGTAAAAAAAAACAAATTATTTTAATTTGAACTGTGGTTATTAAATGAGATAAATAAAATAGGGTCATTCGAATTAACTGTTCTAACGTTTATAAATGATATTTTTTAACTAAAATAAAATAATTATTCTTTTTAGATTAGTGAGCCACCTAGCTATCTAGCTAGCATAAAAAACAGGGTTAAATGAGATTTTTTTTTTGGGAGAGCTTAATTAATTAGGTTTTAAGGAGCAATAGATTAGTGCTACTCAAACTAACGGTTGTAGTGTTTGTCAATGACATTTTTGAACGAGACAAATAGAGTAATGCCACTTGAATCAACCTTTCTAGTGTTTGTCAATGATATTTTTTTTTAACTAAAATCAAATAATTATTCTTTTTAGATTAGTGAGCTACCTAGCATAAAAATGGGGTTAAATGAGATTTTTTTTATAGCTTAATTGATTAGGTTTTAAGTACCAATAGAGTAGTGCTATTCAAATTAGCTGTCGCAGTGTTTGTCAATGACATTTTTTTAACTAAAATCAAATAATTATTCCTTTTGGATTAGTGAGCTACCTAGCTAACTAGCATAAACAAGGGGTTAAATGGGAACCTTTTTTTTTGGGGGAGCTAAATTAATTAGGTTTTAAGGACCAATAGAGTAGTGCAACTCGAATTAACCGTTATAGTGTTTGTCGACGACATTTTTGAACTAAAATCAAATAATTATTCTTTTAGATTATTGAACTATCTAGCTAGCATAAAAAGGGCTTAAATAAGATTTTTATTTTATTTTTTATTAGAGAACGGGAGCTTAATTAATCAGGTTTTAAGGACCATTTTACACGCATGCATATCCATAACTCAAACCCCACAACAAATGCTCATTGCCCACCTCTTAGTATTTAAATTTTTTATTATTATTAATATTGTTTCTGAAAAAAAAAAAAGCACTATAAAAAAATAGGTCAAGGTTCCTTTCTTTTGTCTTTCTTTTCTTTTTTTTTTATGCACTTGGACATTAGGTTTTTATTTTTTCTTTTAGTCTTTTTTGTTATTCCTTCCTTCAGACCTACTACCTTTTGATTCGCAAGAGAAAGTTCCTAGAAGACACAGATCAAATTAAAACTGAAAAAAAAAAAAAAGAACCTTAAAAATAGCGTAAAAGACCTAGCATCGTTTCCAATAAGAAGATTTTCATGGCAGTTTGCACCACATCTTGAACGTGAGGGTTTTCCTTGCAGAGATGAAGAGTGAAAGTGATTGTTAAGAGACTTCACGTATCTCTGATCACTCAGTACTTTTCACCGATTAATAGCTTTTTGCTTAAAAGGAGAAACAAGCATTCTTTGTCACATGCTTACTTCCCTCTCGGAGGACCCTCTTTGCCCCCACTTCATGTCAACTTGTCAATCCTGCTTCCCATTCTTGAATCTTGATCAACGCAGAGAAAGAGAAAGGGCACCACTGATCAGTAAGCTCTGCCATCGTGTGGCTTTACATTTCAAACATTCCGTTTGGCCGGATTGCATTTTCTTTTTCATATTTTCGAATCAAAACTAACTAAATTCTTCTCGATTTCCATCTGATAAGAAAACGTAATGGTGGTTTATTTTTTCACGCAAGGTGATTTTATACTGACGTTGACATATCATTTGCACAAACAAATATAGGCAATCTTTACAGGAATTACAACGAGGATGGCGATGGTGGAATTTAGAAATAATTTTGAAATCGAACCTTTTGGTATATCTAAAAGCTGAAAGCTAGATCCGGAGAGAGAGTTGATCTTAGGCACATGAATGGTTTCAGATCAGGAGCGGACGCACGTTATGAGTTACAGGGGCCCGGGCCCCCTCCAACCTTTTTTTTTTTTTTTGGCCCTTTGGTCCCAGCTGGTACATGCCATACACACATCGTAAGGGAAACAAAAGCCGCTATTGGCTATTTTTGCTTGTAAGTTTCTAATTTCTTCTTGGGCCTTTCTTGTTTTTTTTTTTTTTTTCAATATTTATATATTTATGAGAGAAAGAGCAAACTTTTTTCTGTCTTTGAAGAGTTAAACTTGTTAAGAAAGAAGTCTATTGGAGGAAGAAGGAATGTTCCTTCTTCTTCTTCTTCTTCTTCTTCTTCAGGAATTAAGTTATAATTATCTAAAGAAAAGGTACTAAATATAGTATATTACTAAGGGGAAGGAGGAAAACTTAACCTTATGGGGCCGGGACACCTCTGGCCCCACCCTGGACTCGCTCGCCTTAATGTGCAGTATTTAGGTATGTGTCTTCTGATAAGATATCATCATACAAATCAATACACGTAGGCTCAATTATAAATATTGATTATTGTGGATATTTAGTCCTGCATCCATTACTGTTTAAGGACAAACTTTAAAGTATCTCACGACTTGCGCACATGATACAAGCATGATTTGGTGAAATCATGTTCTATTCTTCTCTGACCGTACACATAGGCTCAATTATATTATTGGTAGACATTGTCATGTTTTGAGTAAATCTTTAATGCTGTATCAATAGAGAAATATGATGATTATGGGTGGAAAATGTTTATGGGCACAATGTACCCACCAATGGCTATGGTTATTCTCTTAGCTGATCAATGTCTGAGGTGTCTGGTGACCCACTAGTGGAAGATGTCTGGTGATACATTGGATTCTTTTTACGTGATGGTTCACTTTTTGGAGAGCGAATGAATGGGGCATTTGTGGCTTTGGCTTTAGCTACAAAGGACTTTGGTAAGGTGGAATAAGTATGTTGTTAAGACTTAAGAGGGGATGAATCATAAATATGTTGGGAAATTTGAGTTAAAGAATCTAGAGAGTGGACCTAAAAGCATTAGGCATGAGAGGGAACTGCGAATACTGAATTTTGGTACTATAAAATGTCTCATGAGTTATCTCTTCTTTGTTTTAGTAACACTATAGTTTTAACCATAGGTATAGTTATATAAAACGTTACGGTCATAATTATGAATCATAATTTATCGTAATAGTAAAATAATTGTCACAATAATTAATGTTATAAATATATTAACAAATTAGTAGTTATTAATTAATTTTTTCTAATTTAAATATTTTTAATAATTTTACTAATTATATTAATAACATCTTTAATCATTTAATGCTATGTAATAATAATTGAATTTATTACAAAAAATTAATACAATTTTTAATAATTTAACATCACATAAGTAATAATAAAAAACGATTGTTATTTACTAAATAACGAAAGATAACAACATCATATAATACCGATAATAATGTTTTTTTAACTATATATATATATATATATATATATATATATATATATATAATGAATGGTGCGAGGTATGAGATGGAAGATGTATGAAATGCAGATTGATAGATGGGCGGCAGAGCCGACCACGGAGATGCGAGATGAACAAAACAAAGAAATAAATGAACTTTAAATTAAAATGAAAATAAAATTAAACATAGATGGGCGGCAGAGCCGACCACCGAAAATGATAAACGAAAGGTACGTGGCGTTGTTTTACCACAGCTCAGCTCGATAGTACTGTGTACCGTTATTGAGCCGAGTCGTGGTATTCCAACCGATATACCTCAAGAGAGAGAGGGAGAGATAAACATAAAAGAAAGAAACTTTTATTTATTTACAAAGGAAAGTAACTTACAGGAGAGGTTTTCGGAATCTCGAAGTTGGAAAAGAGAAATCTTTCTTAGAGAATGTCCGAAAACTAGTAGAGAAAATTCTTCCAAAAGAAAAGTTCTTCTTACAACCGAAATGAGCTCTCTTTATATAGAGAAAGTCGTCATGAACAAGTACATGTGAACAAGTACCTATGAATAGTAAAAAATGTACAAGTAAAAGTAAATAGTAACTTGCTACGTTGTCTTCACGTGTTGATGAACAAGAAGACGCCGAAAGCAATTTTGTCTTCTTGTGTCACGTGGGATGAACAAGTGATGACCTTGTGAATTTTTGTCTCCGGAGAGAACTGTTTTTGTCGGTAGATAGGAAGATGCCCGGAATGTGCAGGTTTTGTCAAAGTTCACGGGTGGTGAACCGGGGAGAAGATGTCATAGGATTCGTCTTCGTCATCATTTCCCAAATGTATCATGGGTTCCGACTCGAATCCGAATCGCCGCATGTGATGAATTGGATCGGCTTTGAACCATCTCGGTACATGATGGCGAAGTATTCATCTTCCGATTTTGCCGTCGCGAGTCCGGCATTCACAACGATTTTTGTGCAAGGAAATTGGTTGTTGAGGATGATGGCTTGAGAAATCCTTGTTTTGTAAGCCATTCTTCAATACCTGTTTTGGAAATGGATGATGGAATCCGGAAGGAATCCCACCATTTGACTTTGAACCTTCGAACGAGGATTAAGGCCTCGTCGTGATTTTGTGTTTCATAATACCGAGAACAAACCCAAGGAAGGAAGAATTTTGTGCGTAAAAGGAAAAGAGGGGTAAATCTTTTTTCTTTTTCCGAGGGTTTGTAATGGGTTTTGAAGAGAGTGTAACTCTCGATGATTGCTCGGAGTAAGTATGTCGGAGTAGGACCAAAGTAGTTCCACCATTGGGTGAACCACATAGGAATGTTTGTAAAGACGAATTTTGTATCAAAATAGAATAGCCAAGAATGGCTTCCTTTGTCGTTTTGGAGAAGCATAGTATTGAACCATGCCTCGTCGATAATCCCGATAGGAGAAAGATCGACAAGTGGTTAACACCGGGTTTGAAGCTCGTCCGGGAAAACCATTTGTAGGGAAAGGTCTTGGCCCCGACCGAAGGATGAATAATTTTAAGGATTCTCGCATGTGGAGTAGGCGGCTTCGGTTTTGTCGGAGGTGAGGAAATGTTTGAAGGTGGTCGATTTTGTGTTTTCTAGGATGGCCATATAAGTAGGCTTGGGTTTTGGATAAATCCCATAGGGTGTAGTGCCATCCAGGAGGAAAGAATTTCCGAACAATTTTGTAAGGTCTCGTCAAAGAAATAACCATCTTCGACAAGTAAATATTTTTTGAAATTCTCGTTTGAGAAAATACTCGGATGTGGATCTTTTGAAAACAGGTTTTGCGTAAACAATCACCCGAGTGTTTTGTGAAGAAGGATTTTGAGAAATAAGTTTTGAAGATTCATTTGATTTTGGAGAAAGGGGTTTTTTAGAAGAGGAAGATCCTTTCTCTAGTTTTGAAATGGGCTCAAGATGCATACCCGAGATCTTTTGCAGGGCCGAAGTAGTTCCGACTGTTTTGTTAAATTCCGGACCCAGTCATCAATAGATTGGGTTGAGATAGGAGTTTCGGGTTTTGTTTTTCGACAAGCATCCGCCCAAGAGATGGGTTTTCTCGAAGATAAGGGTTTTGGGCTTTCCGGTAAAAGGGGTTTTTCCCTTTATCTTTCTTGGCCATCAAGACTCGTTTTGCGTACATTCTTAAGTCAAGATCGTTAATAGAAATTTTGATAAAATGGATTTTACAAAGTTCGAATAAAAGATTTTGGAAATGGTTTAGGAAAATATTTTGGATGCATATGAAAATGCAGAATGCAATTGCGTGGTTTATGAATTAACTAGCCATCTATAATGCTCGGGATCTGGTGGCAATAATGGCCGCAAACTCATAATATTGGGGTAGGATTTTGTTTTTGATTATGCCTCTTTGGAGTTCATCCTCAAGGTAACTTTCTATGGAGTCAACTCGTTTGAAAGGGCATATTCAATATTGTTGAGTGCTTCATTGATGAGATCGTCTTTGAAATCATCAATAGCATCTAAGGCATATGCTTCTAAGGTCTCGGGAGATCTATCTAGGGCTCTAACCGTTAAATAATCTTCTGTTTGATCGGTATTGAGACCCACAATATCCATAATGTCTTCTAGGATATCTTCTTCAAGAATAGGCAGTTGGTTGAACTCAATAGCTTCTTCTTGGACATAATTTTCATTTTGTTCATAAAATCTACCCATCCGTAAAGGACAAATTGGAGGAGATCCTATGAGTTTTGTAGAAGGGATATGCGAAACTAGAGGAGTACATAGAACCATGGAATTTATTTCAAAAATAGAACATGTTTTAATAATATTCAAATTCCCGATTCCGGGTTTCTCAATGAACGGGAAAACAAGTTTGGTATCTCTCGGTTTTGAAAAGTATGCAATCATGCTTCACTGAATAAGGAGTAACAAGATTTATGAAAGGTGTTCCTAAGATCACCATATGATGCATATTCTCAACAAGCGAGAAAATGATTTTTGATTGCAATACGACCACCGACCACGGAGGCTTCGTCTTACCATGTATGGTCATTTTGGAATTGTTTGTCTGCAGATAGACGTTCATGTGTATGCATATGAAAACGTTTTGGAACAATGCTTTGCTTAATACAATTCGGATCAGCACCAGTATCAAACAAGGCAATTGCATCAATTTTGTAATTATCATGGAACACAAGAGTAATCTTAATCAAATATTTC